TGGGTCTGGGATTTTGGAGGAGAAATCACTCCATGCCCAGTGCAAATGGRGGGACCACCTAACCAGGTGCAATTGCAGCCTGTGCTTTTTCCCTACCTAAAGTTTCAAATAATAATGTTATTTATTAGCAGAACTCACAGCACTTTACAGAGGAGACTTTCCAAATTTCCCCCCAAASTGATTATTCTTTGCAGTAATTCCAAGATTCCCCAGGTTCTTTTGAGTGTTGTGGTGTTCCTGAACCACCAAGCAGGAATGTGACCTGCTGGGACTGGTTCTGGAGACAAGGTGTGAGAGGGGCTGGTGATTTAGGGATTTCTCATAATTCCTGTTCTTTCTGCTTGCTTTTCTTCAGTGTCCTGGCTTGAGTGCCCGAGGAGGAGATGAAAGATGTTCCTGCCTGGAAGTGGTTCAGTTCTGGGCTCTGTGCAGCTGCTCCTCAGGTGCTGAATCTCACAGTAAGCAACAGCCACAGAGCAGGGAATGCATCTTGGCCTGGCAATTCATCTGAGTTCAGATTTTAGGTGAGTGCCCCTGGTGATATCATCCTGGTTTTATTCCAGATTTCATAACTCTTTATGCATCCCCCAGTGTGGCCAGCAGGGGAGAGGGGGATTCTTCCTCTCTGCCCTGCTCAGGTGAGACCCCCCTGCAGAGCTGCCCCAGCCCTGGAATCCAACATCAGAAGGACCTGGAGCTGCTGGAGCCAGTTCAGAGGAGGCCACGGAGCTGCTCCCAGGGCTGGAGCCCCTCTGCTCTGAAGCCAAGTTGAGAGAGCTGGGGGTGCTCACCTGGAGAGGAGAAGGATCCAGGGAGAGCTCAGAGCCCCTTCCAGGGCCTAAAAAGGGGCTCCAAGAGAGCTGGAGAGGGACTGGGAACAAGGGATGGAGGGACAGGACAAGGGAGAATGTCCTTAACTGAAGGAAGCCAGATATTGGGAAGGAATGTTCCCTGGGAGGGTGGGGGGGGCCCTGGCACAGGGTGCCCAGAGAAGCTGTGGCTGCCCCTGGATCCCTGGCAGTGCCCAAGGCCAGGGGGGACATTGGAGCTTGGAGCACCCTGGGACCGTGGAAAGTGTCTCTGCCCATGGTGGGGTTAGGATTGGATGAGCTTTAAGTTCTCTTCCAACCCAAACTGTTCTGTGATTCTCTGATTGATGGAAGAGGTCATTTTATTATCCCCATTTCATACCTGGGGAGAACAAGGCAGGGGAGTGTCCCATGGCTGTGACAAGTGACAGATATAAAACCCAGTGCTCCTTTATCTCCATCCAGTGTCTCATCAGCTGGGACATGTTTCTCCCACATTTCTAATCACACTGATTTCTGTGTGATTTGAAGATTTTTAGCAGCTCCAGGGTCACTTCTCACTAATGTATGAGAGGAGCTTGTTGAATTGCACGTGTGGAGCTATGCTGGCCTCAGGAGCATTCTGAGCCTGCAGCTGTGCCTGCTGGTGGTGGAAAAGGTGGAGGAGACCCCCCTTGTGATCCTTCTCCTGCCCAGAGCGAGGAGTGGGTGCCCTCAGTGCCAGCCCTGATTGGCCTGGGCTGTGGATGGACACACTCCACACCTTTGTGGACCCCCACAGCTCCACATCTTTGTGGACCCCCACAGCTCCACAGGAGCTCTCTGTGCCTCCTCTTTATTCACGGTGGTAAACCCAGGCCACAAGCTTTGCTTCCATACCCTGATGTCCCTGTCCCATCCCTGTGTCCCAGACAGCAAAACCTTGCTCTCAGGGACCTGGCCCCAAGGCAGTGATTTCTCATGAACAAGAGGGTAAGAAGTACTCCCCAACCTGTGAAATCCAACTGCCAGTGAGATCAAACCAAGATTTAACCAAATCCCTGCTCCTTCATCAGATTTATAGTAAGTTGAGCTACAACATTAGGGGCAAAGTCTCCTTAAACTTTTATAACCCCAAAAATCCACAGCTACAGACACTGGAGGGGTCTTTGCTCCTTCTGCTGTGCTGGGGTGATTCTGGTGAGAGAGAAAGCAGCCACCCAGCCCTTCAGTCTGTGACAAAGACCAAATAATGGAATCCCAGACCAGTTTGGGCTGGAAGGGTCCCTAAAGCTCATTCAGTTTCCATGCTCACCATGGGCAGGGACACCTCCCACTGTCCCAGGGTGCTCCCAGCCCCAATGTCCAGCCTGGCCTTGGGCACTGCCAGGGATCCAGGGGCAGCCACAGCTKCTCTGGGCACCCTGTGCCAGGGCCTCCCCACCCTCCCAGGGAACAATTCCTTCCCAATATCCCATCCATCCCTGCCCTGTGGCAGTGGGAAGCCATTCACCCTTGTCCTGGCACTCCATCCCTTGTAAAGAGTCTCTCTCCATCTTTCCTGTAACTCCTTCAGACACTGGAAGGACTCAATGAGGCTACCTCAAAGCTTTTCCAGGCTGAACAATCCTGATTCTCTCAGCTTTTCCACATGGTGGAGCTTCTCCATCCCTCTGMCCATCCCAGTGCCTGCTCCAGACTCACATGGGAGCTTCTCCCTTGCCAAGGTGGTCGGGTCATGCCAGGGGGCTCCTCTGAGAAGCAGAGCCAGGAGAGCTCCCAGCTGGGGTGGGCCTGGGGCCTTTGCTGGTGCTACACAACCACAGCTCCCCTCTCTAGCCTGGTTTCCCAGCAGGAGCATTCCTGCCTTGGGACACCAGCACTGCCTCCTGCAAGGACACCTGTTGTTGACTCACCTAYTGTAAATGGGACATAATTCCTGGAAGCAGATCTGCAGAGTCATCCCAGGGGTTTCATGTTACCGAAGGGAGCAGCTTGTTGTGTGAACAAACATTTCACCAAACCACCTCCTGCTTTCTCTTCCTTGTTCACCACCTCCTGCTTTCTCTTCCTTGTCTCACCCTTCACTGAGGAATTTGCTTTAGGATGCCCTGGTTTGGGGATGCAAGTCTGGAATCTGGTGCCTGTCCTTTAGCTGCACCCCATCTTTTTGATTCTATTGAAAACAGATCTCAAAGCACACCTCTGGTTTTGAAATACCAGATTTCTCCTGGCATTATCCATCCACAGGTTGCGGCACAGATAAGGAGAGCAATGGATGGAACAACAACAGTGGGAAATCCTGCTGGATTTTCATCAGCTCTGAGGAGGAATTTTTTCAGTGGAAATCTTTTGTCTGGTAAACGCCTGCCCATTGTAATGGAAATTGTCCATAGGAAGAGGTTTGTTTGGACAAATTTTCTGCTAAGTGTTTCTGGGGGGAGGAAAACCRAGTTGGACATGTTCCAGACCTTCTCAATTAAACAATTTCAAAATAATAGCTTGAACCTCACTTTTTTGAACCTCCCTGCAGAAATAACCATGAGAACAGAGAAGTTTAATTTAAGAAATGATAAATTGATAAATACTGAATTTGTATTCAAAAGCAGGCAAAAGCAAGAAAGGCCTATGTGGAAACAGGCATGTGTTAGTGTCCAATCCGAGCTAATTCTCTCTCTCCTCAGGGTTATCTCAATCTCCCCCTGGGCAGGGAGCCTTGTCCAGAGCCCTTATTTCCCTTTTCCATCTGCCTGTGTGCCAGGAAACCAGCAGCATCACAGACCAGATATGCCCCTCTCACTAAACTGCTATTTGCCTTGTGCAGGAGCTTCCCCCAGGGGCTGCACCACCTGAGGGACTTGCTGTAAAATTAAAAATGAAATGAAAAAGCCATTTCAGAGCTGTTGGATCAGTGCAGAGAGGAAGCCAGGACACGTTCAGGGGAAGGCCGCTGGTTTGGGAGTGGTGTGATGGTGCTGTGACCTTGGAGTCCCTGTCCCCTGATTTTGGACAGGTGGCTTGGAGAGGATAGAGTGATGCTCTCAGGCCTGAAKGATGGAGGATGGCATCCCATCCACCTGAAGCTGCAGCAGCCAGGTGCTCCTGGGAGCTGGAATTCCAGGCAGTGCCTCTGAGTCCTGCTCTGTGAATCTTGGTGTGCTGCAGCCCAGCTGGGGAAGGGGCCTGACCCCCTCTGCTGCATTCCGGTCCCATAAAAACCTTCCAAGCAGTTTGAAGAGGAAAAACGGCATTCTGAGTGGGCATGAAGGAGTGTCACAGGGTGGCCAAGGGGCACAGAGCCTCTTGGTGAGATCCTTGATCTGATCCCAGGCACACCCAATCCCCCTCTGCTGAAGGCAGCAGYGTTGCCCTCTAATGAAGAGAGAAATTTTCCCATCCACCTGCCCTTATTTCTTGGAATTATCCAGCTACAAACTGAATTGGTTTCTATATTCTATGGAATGAGATGATCTTTCCTTTCCAACACAAACCATTCTGTGATTCTCTGCCTTTTAAAAAGCCCATTATTAGCAGCACAGTGGCTGTAACCCGAGGCAACTTCCATGGTTTAATGATAAAACCTYGGAGCTGGAGACACATTATTTTATATTCCTTTGAATGTATTACAGCTCCCAGCTACTACAGCTGTCAGCAAGGCAAGAGGTGCCTGACAATGCYGGCAAAAGCAACCTGTCATCCTTTGGAGCAGGAAACCAGCTCCTTCATCCCACACCTCGACYCGCATGGCAAAGAGAAGTTAAAGCACAATTACCCCAAAGCAGCAGAATTATTACAGCAAGGACGAGGTGTGCTCTGCACGAGCCTCACACATGGGCTTTGYATTTGTATTAATGAGAGGAAAAAGTACAAATAGTCATGGAAAAAATATTTTTGAGGAAAACAATGTTCTGTACTTTTAAGCATTCTGCTTTTACACTAATTTGACAAAAGCCACTTGCTACAAATGCCTCGGCATCGCAGCCCYCAGCAGAAACACTCCTTTCATTAACCAGGAAACAAATTTTTGTATTCCAGCACCGCTGAACAAACCCTGCAAACTCGACAAAGCCCCATTTTTCCTGACAGCCTGACTCCTGCCACCCCTGAGCAGCCTCTGCCTGGCTCCCTTTGGAGCCCCCCGTGGAATGGAGCCCCCCAAATCCCCCCGTCCAGGAGCGCCTGGTGCTCCCCAGGCTGTGTGGAGCAGCTCACCTGGGAGCAGCAGGAAGAGCCAGAGCAGTGGATGGCCGGACAGGAGCAGCATCTCCGCGGTGCTTTGTGGCTCACGGAGCCTCTGGCCATCCCGGGAGGGACGGGGAGCAGCGATCTGCCTGCCTGGGCTGACTCTCACCCGGCTTCCTGTCGAAGAATAGAAGGAAACGGGCTGAATTCACAGGGGAACTGTGTTTTTCAGCCCATTATGGCCGGGGAGGATGTGAGCCATCGCTTACCGRCGGCAGAGGAAACCTCGCCGAGCTGTGCTGTGCTTTCGGCTGCCATCACCGAGGGATGCCCTGCTCGGGGCCCCAGGAGCTTCCTGATGGGGCTGGGGATTTTTGGGAGATGTTTTGTGTGTGGTAGGATGTGTCCCACAGATTCCATCCCCCCACTTCAGCCCTGAGGGCTGTGTTGAGCCTCCMTGGGGTTGGTGCTGTTGGAGGAGCCTCTCCCCCACCTGAGAGGGGGTTTCTTGTACAACCCCGAGGAGTTTCAGAATAGCTGCTCCTTGTGGGGCCAGGGTAACTCAGCAGYTGGGTCTGCCCTGTAGCCTGTGCCTTGCTGGGCAGCTCCAGCCAGTCTGGGCAGTGGGATATGCCAACTTTGGGATGGTGGCTTTGGGATGCTGGCTGTGGGATGCTGTCCTTCAGGCAGCACTGCCTCCCTCTCTGCAGGACACACAGAACATCTGGGCTTTGMCCCACCCCATCCCCAGTTCCTTGAGAAGGGGAGGAACTGGACAACTGGGCTGGTTCTGCCCCCATCCAGACTGAGRGGTTCAGGAATTTGGATTTTGGCTCTGGCCTTGTGATGTGCTGGTYGTGTCTGCCCTGGTGTGAGCTCCAGGGGTAATGATTTATCCTGTGTGGGATGGGAATGGGTGTTTGGGGGAGGAGAAGGGTTTTAATGTCCCCACGTGGGACAGGCCCCGCTGTCTGCCTCTCTCGGGTCGGCAGTCAGGGTGCAAAGCCACAGGAAAAAGGAAAAATCTGGTCCAGCCCCTCCCACAGCCCCCCAAAAGCCACAGAGCCTCAGCCCCAGGCAAAGGGGATTCTCCTTTACTGCATGGAGTGTCTCAAGGATGTCCTGTGCTGCCAGCCAGATCCCACAGCTGGGACTGCAGGGGTGATCCCCTGGGCATGGTGCAGCTCCTCGTGTTCCGTGGGWCCCTTCCAACCCCTCCAGCCCCCAGGAACACCAGCAGGCCCGAGGCTGGCGGCCTCCAGAGCGGCCTTTGCGGGAACAAACCCCTGGCAGCAGCCCCCCCATCCTTTTGTCCCTCGCACAGATGTGACGCTCAGAGATTATGCTGTAGATTAAGGTTTTACTGGATCCTGAAATGAGTGCAAATACCCAGAAGCTCTCACATGCAGTCAAATCTCTTCTGGATGCTCGGCTGGATGGTGGGAAAGGCATCTCTCACCCCATCCTTCCCACGTGAAGGAAGGACAGAGCGCAGATATTCACCCCAGACTGCCTGCTGAGAGCCTGCAGGTAAGAGCCGTGGTGTTTGGGGGTGCAAGGGTGGGGAGATGTGTTTTGTGAAGGCTAAAACTCCAGGGAATCCATGTTTTCTGCTCCGAGATGAGCTCAAGGTCACTCCCAGCAGCAGAGGGTCAGACACACAGCACTCCTGGGCCAGGAGGATGTAGCTGGGTGCAAGGTGATGGCCTGGAGGGTGCCCCTGCAGTCTGGTGGCGTGTCAGGGGAGGAATGTGCCAGCCCTGACCTGCCTGTGACCCCCAGCAGGTCAGACAATCACTCAAGCTGGAAAAGCCTCCAAAATCATYGAGTYCAACCAMGGGACTGGAGGTCCAGAGCATCCAGAGCTCCCCATGGCCTCACCCCCGCGTTGGGCTGGCAAAGGTTCCTTGTACAGCAGCGGGACCCCCGGCAGGGACAGCCATCCCTGGGGCTCTGCCATTCCCGGGGCTCTGCCATCCCTGGTGCTCTGCCATCCCCAGGGCTCTGCCATCCCTGGTGCTCTGCCATTCCCGGGGTTCTGCCATCCCCGGGGCTCTGCCATTCCTGCAGCTCTGCCATCCCTGGGGCTCTGCCATGCCCAGGGCTCTGCCGTCCATGGGGCTCTGCGATCCCCGGGGCTCTGCCATCCCTGGGGCTCTGCCATTCCTGGGGCTCTGCCATCCCCAGGGCTCTGCCATTCCTGGGGCTCTGCCATCCCCAGGGCTCTGCCATCCATGGGGCTCTGCGATCCCCGGGGCTCTGCCATCCCCGGGGCTCTGCCATCTCTGGGGTTCTGCCATTCCTGGGGCTCTGCGATCCCCAGGGCTCTGCCATTCCTGGGGCTCTGCCATCCCCAGGGCTCTGCCGTCCATGGGGCTCTGCGATCCCCGGGGCTCTGCCATCCCCGGGGCTCTGCCATTCCCGGGGCTCTGCCATCCCCGGGGCTCTGCCATTCCCGGGGCTCTGCCATTCCCGGGGCTCTGCCATTCCTGGGGCTCTGCCATCCCCGGGGCTCTGCCATTCCCGGGGCTCTGCCATCCCCCGGGACAGGGCCCTGCCGGCCGGGGCTGCGTGGATCCACTTTCCCGGGCTGTGCAAAGAGCTCACGTGTAGAAGGGGCATTTTTTACATCTGTTTCTTCGCCGCCTTAGATTTTCACGCCACGCCGGTGGCAGGAGGGAGGTTTCTTGCAGCCGAAGGGGGGAGGGTGCCTCTCCCCAGACAAAAGAGCCCTTGTCCCGCCCTGGGGGACAGCAGGGTCGCTGGGCGAGGGCAGGGGCGGCAGCGCTGATGTGGCAGCAGGCAGGGATGGGAGCAGCGCTGCCCTCGGGACGAGCCGGCGCTTCCTCGTGTGTCCCGGGSAGCCCCGGCGGCTGCGGGGCCGGGGAGTGACGTGGCAACTTCCGAGGTGAGGCTGCCTGCACCTTCACCACAGCCAGCCCGCGGCTTCCCTTGCTCGTCCCGCCGGCAGCTGCCCAGCCCCGCCGCTGGAGACGATGATTCCCAGGCAGCAGGGACGCCCAGGTACCCCGCGGGGCTGCGAGGGCTCTCCTTCCTTCCCTCCTGTCCCCATCGCCCCCTGCTCCCACCCGTGCTGGCCCCCACGGGATTCTGCCTCTGGAGAGGGAACCACTCACGGGCTTGGGTTCCCCCGGGAGGTCCCTGTGGGGTTTGGTCCTGGAAAGCACCGTGAGGCTGGGGGCGGACAGGGGAGGGCAGAGGGCTCCCCACGAGATCCAGGTGCAGTCCGAGGGTGCCCAGGACAAGGGGATGTGGGGCATTGCCTCATCCCACAGCCCCAGACTGGGTTAGCCACCAAAATGTGCCCTGCCCTGTGAGCCCGAGGGAGGGACCACGCACGGAATCATCCCATTCCCTGGGAGCATCCCATTCCCTGGGAGCATCCCATTCCCTGGACCATCCCATTCCCGGGACCATCCCATTCCCTGGACCATCCCATTCCCGGGACCATCCCATTCCCTGGACCATCCCATTCCCGGGACCATCCCATTCCCGGGACCATCCCATTCCCTGGTAGCTTCAAGTGCAGGCAGGAGCTGCAGGCTGGAGGGCAGGACATGAGGACAGGGATGGGCTCCGCTCGGTGTTCACTGCCGTGTCCCTGCCGCAGGTGACCCCGCTGAGCCATGAACGCCTCGGTGGCCAGCAGCCAGCTGAGACAGCCCGAGCTCCAGGACGGGGCCGCCGTCACTCCCGTCTCCATCATCAAGAGCGTGACCAAGAGATCGGATGCGCTGCCTGTGATCGCGGTGATCGTGGTGGCCTTTGTGCTGCTGGCCGTGCTCATCGTGCTGGCGGTGCACTACGGTCCCCAGCTGCGAACAGTGCAGATCACCCTGCGCCACGAGCCCCTGCCCCAGCACATGGACGGCGTGCTGCTCACCGACTGGAGGCTGCGCCATTCCTGCGGGAAGCTGCCCGCCATGGACTCGGCTGGAGCCASCTGCCACTGCTCCTGCAGCCATCACCTTCCCCATGGCAGCGCTGAGCCCAATGTCATCGAGATCACCTACCTGTGACACGGCCCTGGGCCACTGGGGCGGCCTCAAGTGATGTGTCCCACTGGAAAAGCGGTGGCTGGGACGTTACGGCTTCCTGGGACTCACCGCTTCCCATGCGTGGAGACTGTCTCCCCAGAACCGTGTCCGGCCCCAGGAATGCTCAGCCAGGAGGTTCAGGGTCACTGCACTGACCACGGGGGCTGCATCACCCCAGGACTGTATCCAGCCCCAGGATTGCTCAGCCAGGAAGTTCAGTGACCCCCAAAATTCCAGCCTGGGGGGTGCTGCTATCCCCAGGCAGGAGCTGGGTCCCAGCCCGGGCTCTGGGGCTGGCTCAGCCTACGTGGGACAGCTTTAGCATCTCTTCTGGTTTTACCTGCCCTGGTTTCACCTGTCCCACGCTGTCTGGGAGTGGCCAGCAGAGCTSCCTTGGTCCTTGCCCCAGCTGGGGAGCTCTGGGGCTGTGCTCGGCCCTTTGGCAGCAGCTGCAAGTTTCATCATCTGGAATTGTTTTCCAGTGAAAGATGTTTCCACATGCACAGTGTCCTCATCACACTGTTTCCATGGCACAGAGAAGTCTCCAGCCCCTCTGTCTCCTCACCACAGCCTCTTTTCCCCACTGGGGGGCTGGAACATCACCCTGCCCCTGCCAGCCCCCTCAGCCCCTCGGGATGAGAGGAGGGGAGGGGAGGCAGGTCCTGAACCTGTGTTGGGTGGAGCCAGTGACAGGGGACAACACATCCTGTCCCTAGTGGAGGTGGGTGAGAGAAGAGGGGTGACACAGCAGAGGCAAGAGAGGTGATAATGGCCCATCACAGCTGGCTGAACATCTGGAGGCACCAGAGGAGAAGCTCACGTGACTCTGGGCAGCTCTGCAGCATCTCTGTGCCTGGGGATGGGGAGACCTGAGGKCACAGAATCACAGAATCACAGAWAAAARCAGGCAGGAACAGACCTTCAAGATCATCAAATCCAGCCTACGACCCAACACCTCATCARCTAAACYACATTTGTCGTGGTCACCTTYACRGTGGTCATCTCACTGTGGTCATCCCACTGTGGTCATCTCACTGGCTGCTGTCCAGGGAGGGATGGTGGGCGTGGTGCCCTCAGCCATGGTGGTGTGGCACTGAGATGGCTCTGTCACCCTGGGGAGAACCTTGCTGAGGTGAGATGGAGGGAGCAGAAGGAGAGGTGGAACCTCCTGAGCCCTGCAGGGCTCCTGGGGCTGTCAGACCAGCTCAGCCCTGGGGTCTCTTCAGCCCCAGTTTTCTCCTCCCCTGGTGGAAGTGGGACCTCGGTGTCTGCAGTGCCTGGGGAGGGAGTATGGCCTCTGGGATCCCCCACAAGGGTTTGTTCTGCGGGACAGCCCCAGAAGGCAGAACACTGCTCCCACCTCGCCCACTCTGGAGAAGCCAGGTCTGTGTGTGCCCTCAGCTGCATCCCTGGCACAGATCCCTATGGACACAGCTGGACAAGAGATGGGGCTTTACCTGTTCCTCCAGGTGCTGGAGGTATTCCTGSCATAGCAGATGCTACAGGATCCCCCCTCTCACTCATTTCCAGCTTTTTCTTACTTTAAAGCGARGTATTGGCTGGACTTGCTGGAAACTTTTTGTCTCCACAATAAACATAATTTATATTCATTTTTGGGAGGGTTGTTTTCTGTTTCGATCTTGTTGCCGTTTGTTTTCCAGGGGTGCTGGGACATTATCAGCCCTTCCCCACCCCTGTTAGAGGAGATAAGGGCTGTCATTTCCATTGGAAATCATGGAGTYCTGCTTCCCTTTGCATGTCAAAACAGGGCTTAGTTTGCACTGTGTACATCCCTAATAGCACCCCTGAGGAGATAATCACCTCTAGGGACTTCTCCTAATTAAGAAATCCTTCCCTGGGAGGGTGGGGAGGCCCTTCTCTGGCACAGGGTGCCCACAGAAGCTGTGGCTGCCTCTGGATCCCAAGGCCAGGCTGGATGGGGCTTGGAACACCCTGGGACAGTGGAAGGTGTCCCTGCCCATGGCAGAGGGTGRGATGGGATGGGATTTAAGGTTCTTTCCAACCCAAACCATTCCATGATCCCTTTAAATGACATCTGTAGGTTGTGGTCATTCAAACCAAGAGCTGGAGAAACTCCCAAGTAACCATCCCGTTCCCTTCACTGTGGCACCCAGAGAGGCTGCACCCATCTCTTGGGGACATCAGCCGGTGCCACCTGCCCAGGGGGAGGTGGCAGAGTCGTCCCCCAGCTTTTGTGGCTGTGTCATTCCGGTTCAGGGAGCAGCTCAGTCCAACACAAAGCCTTTAATCAGGGCAACAGGAGCCTTCCTGACAGCTCCCTCTGAAGGACACCCACAGCAGGGAAACAGYGTGTTGGGAGAGAAAAGATTAAAAACGTCTAAATATTAATAAAGAGAAAGATAAAATGGGTAATTATTGCTGGCACTCATTGATTTGCAGCCGCTGGGGACTCGTAAAGGTCTGATTTATGTCACAGTGTGCYGTGGCCCAGATCCATCACTTACCCGTGCAGCACAGGGAACCCACCCTGGGTTGTTGTTCGGGTGTTTCAGGGTGTCAGACTAAAATCAAATAAAACTGGCAGTGAATGGTGGTGCTGATGGGTGCCCTGTGCTCCCGTGCTGTCAGCAGCCCCTTCTGCACAGCCATCTCTGGAAAGGTACAGGACTGAAGTCGCAGCCTTCAGGAGCTCTTCCATGTGTTCCATTTGCAAACAGAAATGTGGATGCAAGCTTTTGRAACACAGGAAAGAAATTGCTGTAAGACTTAGAATAGCAAATTAAATCACACAATATGCTGCCAGCTTTCTCCTCCAGAAGGACATCAAGGGTTAGATCTAGACTCGTTGCTTTCTCCCACACAATAAAACATCATTTTTACAGCTTTTCCTCGTTTCCCTTTGGCCAGCTCTCCCTCTCTCTGCTCGCAGAATTGCTTTTTGTAGCACCAGGCTTTGTAGAACACGTCAGGGTCCTGGAGCAGCAGAGCTGTGCATGCCATTACCATAACATTATTCCTCTCTATTCAAACACTCAGCCTGTCCCAATTTACTTCACTTATAATTTTCTTCCCCTCCTTAATAATAATYCTTTTATGAGCACAGAGCAACAATAACCCTCCTTATCGTCCCCTGCATGCAGGGCAGCTCCTGGAGCACAGCAGGCAGGAGCCGCTTTRCTCAAAGCCGGGCTTTTGCTCGGCAAAGCTTTCAGGAGCTTCTGCATCAATCATTAACTCTGCTCAGGGATCGCCGGCACCCCCTTTTATTTTCTTCCCAATTAAGGTGTTGTCCTGCAAGAAGGGGGTCACCTTTATGACCCCCTCAAGGGTGGGTTTAGTGCGGGTTGCAGCRGGTTTGGGGGTGACTCTTTTCGTGATGCTGCGGAGTTGTCTGAAATCGTGTAAAATCCAGTGAAACATTCTAAAACTGTGCAAAACCGAGGGAAACAACGTAAAACTGTGCCAAACTTGAGCGAGGCACTCCGAGCATCCGCTGGGGATGGAGAGGAGGAGCTGCAGCATCCCCCGGAGCGTCCCTGCAGGGCTGGGGGGGCTGAGCCCCCCGGGACCCGTGCGCTGCCCCTCTTTGGGGAGAKCTGGGGGCTCAGCACCCTCGGGCGGCGCCGGGAACAGGCGGGGACAGCGGCGGAGCGCAGCGCGGAGCAGCAGTGGGCTCTCGTGGCGGAGGAACCCAACTGCACACCCCGAGCCTTCCCCGCGCCGCCCCCGCCTCGGGAGGAACCCGCAGCTCCGGGAACGCTCCGCTGGAGGAGCCCCAAGGACACGCAGGGAATTGGCGGCTGTGGTGAAGGACGAGCAGCCCAGCCCAGCCCGGACCAGGTGACATGTGAAGGGCACCCTCAGCCAGTGTTACCTCCTGGTTTTACGGAGATGAGCTCAGGGAGAGCCAAACCCATCGAGGGAAGGTCCCTCCAACTCTTGCAGTTTGGTGGGAGAGAGGGAATCACGTCCTTCCTCCTGGGAAAGGGGCCCCAGGAGCCTCYCGGGTCCCTGCAGGCAGCTGAGGATGGGGAAGGTTCTGGGCTGACCTTGTGCAGCTGCACCCGGCTCCTCACACAGCTCAGGCTCAGSGAGGGATCATTGTTCTGCAGAAAAGGGTGTGGCACTTCTAGAGAAGCAAAGACTGTCTTTGAAGGGCTTAAAATTCACAGAATCACAGAATATCTGGAGTTGAGTCCAGCCCCTGGCCTTGCACAGACACCCCAACAATCCCCCCCCGTGCATCCCTGGCTGCGCTGTCCAAATGCTCCTGGAGCTCTGGCAGCCTCGGGGCTGTGCCCTTTCCCTGGGGAGCCTGTTCCAGTTGAGGGGTGAATCCTGTGATCCCCAGGAAATGGTGAGAAGCAGCTGTGTCTGTGCTTGCTCCACCTCCATTTGCAGCCTTTCTGAGGTGGAGCTGAGCCTGGAAAAGCCCATCCCTCCTCAGGGTCCATCCTGTGTCTGTGGCCTCTGTGTCCTGACCCTTGGACACTATTTCCCACCCATGGCACAGCTGTAGGGCAGASATGAGCCCAAATCCTGCTCCCMTGAACAGCCCACAGGGTACRGTGAGCTCTGAGTMCCCCAGYGAGGCTCAGCTTCTGGCASTGGGAAGCCAYTCCCCGTGTCCTGTSCCTCCATCCCTTGTCCCCAGTCCCTCTCCARCTCTCCTGGAGCCCCTTTAGGCTCTGCAAGGGGYTCTGAGCTCTCYCTGGAGCCTTCTCTTCTCCAAGTGATCCCAGAGCTCTCAGTCTGTCTTCATCAGAGAAAATTATTAGATTTGAAAAAGTCTCTTCCCTCTCATTTTAAGCTGCCCCCCGTTCCCTGCTGTGTCATGGCACAGCTCACAGTCCCCAGCTAACACCGTGTCAGCCCAGAATGACAAAGTTTGAAGATCTCCAGCTGTGCAGCCCAGCTCTAAATAACCTGGTGGTGCTGCTGTGTGCCATGTGATGGACAGGGAGAGCGGTGCCTCCAGCACAGCCCTGCACCYCTGGGAGCTGGGGCTGTGCCCATGCCCTGCTCTGCAGCCTGGAGAGCAGCTGGGCTGCAGAGGAGCCAGGTTTGCACTCCTGAGAATGGCATTTCCAGCTGCTCTGGGCACCGACAGTGCCAGGCAGGAGCTGAAGGAATTATCGCACAGTGAATGAATGARGTGCTGCAAGAACTGAATGTGGCTGATGCTCTTTCTGGGCTTTAACTGAAAGGGTTCAGGTGCAACCTAAGGGGGAGAATCTTCTGTTCACAGGCAGCACATTGTCCATGGAGCTCCTGAAGCACGTTGGGAGCCTGCCGGGGTGTGAACAGGAAACAGGAGGAGACAGGTTTTGTTTTTAGCACCAGATCTCATTTTCCTGCCTGTGCTTCTGGCAAGTCTCAGCTCGACCCCGTTTTTCTCTCCTATTTTCTTGCAGTATCGCTTGATCCATCTCCCTCCACAGCACTGATTTGCAGCTCAGCAATGCTTTGGCAGCATCCTSCTGCCAGCTGGGAATGTTCCGATGGCTGGGGGTCACAGGCCTGGCCTGTAGGGATTTATTCCTGAGGAATCACAAATAATTAATGCAGGAACTCCTCCAGCTCCTCCTGGGCAGGCCAGACCTGTCACTGGTGCTGGGATCTGTATGGCCASGCTGGGGACAGTGCTCAGGGGGTCACAGCCTGGTGACAGCCACTTCTCCTCCCAGCCTTCACCYGAGCAAACTGGTGCTCAAAATCCTACCTAGTCCCTGTCTTTGGGGAGAAAAAGGGGTGGTCTGGAGGTTTGGAATCCTCCCAGCTGAGGGGTGGGGATGGCAGCAAGTGGGGTTTGCGCGTGGGTGCTGCAGTTGGGGGAATTRATCTCCTGTGCTGTCAGCAATGGTTAAACATTGGGGTACTCGGGGAGATTGGTTTGTTGTGCAGATGGATTGGGAGGTGATGGCAGAAGAATATTCCACACAGGGCTCCTCGGGGAACCTCCACACTCCTGGGGTATCAATAATCAATAATATTGATTTCCTTTCCCTTTTGATGTTGAATGCGGTTCTTCTGTTCCGTTCCATACCCCGAAAAGGAAAAGCATTAAAAAAACGGGAGGTGGAGGGATAACAGTCCCTGCAGAAGGAAACCCTCCCACCTCCCCTCCTGAAATCAGGGCACGGGCTGGGAGACATCCGGCTCTCCTCCCGCAGCTCCGCGGSCAGCGGGTGAACAGGAGCCGGAGCGGGCAGGAGGGAGCGGGAGCTGGAGCGAGCAGGAGCATCCCACCGGGAGAGCCCCGCGCTGTGCAGGAGGAAGAGCGAGCACAAAGCAGGGAAATGACTTGGCAAAGGTCACCTGGAGCTGGGGCCGAGCCCAGGAACAGCTCCGGGGCTCCTGCCACCCCCCGCGGTACCGTCCCTTCCTCCCGCTTCGCTGAGGGAGCGACCGACMCAGCCGAGGCGCGGCTCGTGGCATCGGGGTGGGGCTGATTTTGCTGCTCTTTGGGGCATCAAAATTTACAGTAAAAAAGAAAGGTGGTGACAGCAGGGATGCGGGTGTGTGTGTGGGGGTGGGGGGGGGGAGGCTCACCTGGGAAAACCACAGCCGTGAGGGGAGCTGGGAGGGATGGGAATAGGTTGGGGATATGGTTCTCATCAAGGCTGGAAAAACAAGAGGAGAGGGTGAGCTGGGCACAGGACACGAGTRGCTGCTGGAGGCTGCCTGGGAGGCGTGGGGGCCACAAAGGTGATGGGGGTCCAACCACAGCATGAGGGTGCTCTGCAATGCCAAGGAAACTTCCACAGGACCTTCCCTGTCCTGAATGCCTTCGGTCACCTCGAGACCAAAGCAAAGCCAGCCTGGGGTCCGGGGGTGCTGCAGGCTTAGGAGGAATAGCTTTGGGCTGTGCTGCCTGTGTGTGCACAGCTGGCCAGATGTGCTGCTACTGGGGGGCTGCTTGAAGGTAGGGCTCGGGGCTCAGCTCTGAAATAGGGCCAAGCATGGGTTTGGTGGTGCAGGAGTGACGCCAGGGAAATCAACGCTGAGCCAGGCTGGGATGGAGTGCGTGCCAAGACGGGAGTGGCCAGGACAGACGGATGCAGGGACAGGGAGAGGCCTGGACGGACACRGGCCATGTGTGCCAGCACCTTCCTCCTGCCCTCGTGCCCTCCCGGCCGGGCCTGACGGGGCCATGCTGCCGGTGATTCATCCATCAGCTCATTTTGCTGTGTCCAGCTGCCATTGGTGATGTCATCAAAAGCTTTGTGTGGAAAAGGTGACTTGGACACATCGCCCTCCAAAAGCAGAGTGAGGGGCAGGGATTGCACTTGGATTTAGGCAAAATGAGAAAAAGTCAAAGTCTGAGATGTAATGGTGTGGGAACACGGCTTTGGGTCTGTGCAGGAGCAGTAGTCCATCACCTCTTCCTGAAGCACAAGAGGTGTATGGTGGGTCAGGGAGTGTCTGCAGGAACCACACCTTGTGGGCAGTGTGTTCTGCAGGTGACAGCGGGAATGGTCCCTGCTGGTTGGGATCCGAAGGCACTTCCATGCCCTCTCGCATCTGGGCCCGTGCCGCCCCAGAGCCCCCACCCCGCCCCGCCATTGTACCAGCCCGGTCCTCCCTTTTCCTGTAGGTGGGGTTTCCATAGGACGTCGGCTGCTCCATCCCCGGCCCGGCCAGCCGGCCGGTGGCTGCTCCTGGGACRGTCCCTCTCTCCGGGCTGTCCCGGCCCGGGCAGAGCCGGCTCCCGCGCTGTTCCCCGGTGATGGCAGCGCGGGGGACAGCCACCAGCTCTGCTTGTGACTGCCCCTCCTTTGCAAGCGCTGGCTGGTGCCCGCGGGACCCGGAGATGGCAGAGGCGCTGCTGTGGCCGTGAGGACGCTCTGGGGATGCGGTGGCCGGCGGGACAGCCCGGGGCAGCGCGGCGGGGCCGCGGCGGCTCTGCCGGTGCCATGCTGGGGCTGCGGCGCTCGGCGCTGCAGCTGCCGGCGCTCTGGTGGTGGTACCTGTTCCTGTGCGCCGACGCCCAGGAGGTGGCCACGTTCACCGTGAGGTACCGGGTGCTGGAGGAGGTGCCCCCGGGAACCATCATCGGGAGCCTGGCCGAGCACTTGGAGGGGGCCGAGAGCGGCGAGGCGGCAGAGGCGTTCCAGCTGATGGAGACYCCCAGCAGGTTCCCGCTGCGTGTGGGGAGCGGCGACGGGGTGCTCAGCACGGCCGGGCGGGTGGACAGGGAGCAGCTGTGCCGGCACAGCGATCCCTGCTGGGTGTCCTTCGACGTGCTGGCCGCCCAGAACCTGGCCCTGATCCACGTGGAGGTGCAGGTGATGGAYGTCAATGACAACGCGCCGCGGTTCCCCACGCCCGAGCTGGAGCTGGAGATGTCGGAGAGCGCGTCCCTRAGGACGCGGATCCCTCTGGATCGAGCCCTGGATGCTGATGCTGGCCCCAACGCCCGCTGCTCCTATGCCCTCTCCCCCAGTGAGCACTTTGCTCTGGAGGTCGTCTCCAGCTCTGATGGGACAGGGCATGTGGAGCTCGTTGTGGTGAAGGAGGTGGACCGGGAGCTGCACTCCTCCTTTGACCTGGTGCTGACAGCCACTGATCATGGGGAGCCCCCAAAATCAGGTACGGCTTTGATTAAAGTCATTGTCCTCGACTCCAACGACAACAGCCCCGTCTTTGCAGAGAGCTCCCTGACGGTGGAGGTCCAGGAGGACACTCTGCCTGGGACCCTCCTGGTGACAGTCACGGCCACTGACCCCGACCAGGGTCCCAACGGGGAGATCGAGTACAGCCTGGGCAGGCACGCTCCCCCTGAGGTGCTGAGCACCTTCAGCATCGAYGCCCGCACAGGCAGCATCTTCCTGCAGCTCCCTCTGGACTATGAGGACACCCAAGCCTACGAGCTCGACGTGCAGGCGCGGGACCTGGGCGCCAACCCCATCCCGGCGCACTGCAAGGTCCTGGTCAAGGTCCTGGATGTCAATGACAACGCTCCCGACGTCCACGTCACCTGGGCCGCGCGGGTGCCTGTGCTCTCCGAGGCCCTCCCCAAGGACAGCTTTGTGGCCTTGGTGACAGCCAGCGACCCCGACTCGGGCAGCAACGGGCAAGTGCTCTGCTCCCTCAGCCAAGGGGACGAGCACTTCAGGCTCAAGAGGACCAACAGCCACAGCTTTGCACTGCTGACCAAYGCGGCGCTGGACCGCGAGCTGCGCCCTGAGTACAACCTGACMCTGGTGGTGCGGGACATGGGGGAGCTGTCCCTGGCCGTGCTGAAGCACCTCACCATCTGCATCAGCGATGTCAATGACAACGCTCCCGCCTTCGACAAGGCCACCTATGAGGCTGCTGTGGCTGAGAACAGCAAAGCCCCTGCCTTCCTGCTCACCGTCCGTGCCACCGACCCCGACCTGGGCTTCAACGGGAAAGTCACCTACAGGATCCTGGACCCCTCTGCTTTGGGGCTGGTCTCAGTCCACCCCATCACCGGGGATGTTTTTGCCTTGCAAGCTTTTGATTACGAGCAGGTGAGGAGCCTGGAGTTCCTGGTGACGGCGGAGGAYGGAGGGCATCCCAAGCTGGCATCCAACACTTCCATCAGACTGGCTGTGCTCGACAGGAATGACAATGCGCCCATCATCACTGCGCCAGCRCTGCTGGGAGGGGTGGCCACGCTCTCTGTCCTGGTCAATGCAGAGACCGGGTGCTTCTGGGTGGTGCCTGGTAATGGGAGCACCCAGGGGGCTGCAGCAGTGACCAATTCCACACCCGGGTCGTGCCCTGGCGCTCCCTTCCTCTTCACCATCGTGGCCAGGGATATGGACTCTGGCARCAATGGGGCTCTCCGGTATGATCTGGTGGGCGGGGACGATGCTGGACTGTTCATCCTGGACCCTGTCCTTGGGCAGGTGTCCCTCAACACCAGCAACGCCAGCAGCCTGGCCGGGAGCCAGCGGGAGCTGCTGGTCCGGGTGAGTGACCAGGGCGACACTCCCCTGCACASCCTGGCCCGGCTCCGCTTGGTGTTCCGGCGCCGCGGGGCCTTCTCCAAAATGTCAGGGCAGGGTCCGGGCTGGCCCAGCCTGTCCGTGGTGGTGCCCATCTGCCTGGCCGCGCTGCTGGCCGCGTCCCTGCTGCTGCTGGCTCTCACCCTGTCGCTGCGGAGCAGGGACAAGAAGGACGGCATGGCCTACAACTGCCGGGAGGCGGAGGATGCCCGKCGGCAGCAGCAGCTCAAGAAGCCGCCGCGGCAGATCCAGAAGGCCGATATCCACCTGGTGCCGCTGCTCCGGGGCCGCCCCCGGGAGCCTGAGCCCGAACCCCCCCGGCCCGGCCCGGAGGAGCTGCCCGGCACGGCCACCCCCGTGTCCGGAGGGTCCCCGCAGGCTCCCCTGCACCTCACCCCCACCCTCTACCGGACCCTGAGAAATCAGAGGACACAAAAGGACTCGGAGGAGCAGCAGGGTGCCCTGGAGCTGCCCATCCTGCAGCGCCGGCCCTGCCAGCCTCACAGACCCAAACACTCGGTGAAGGAGGCTCTGGGCTCCCCGGAGGCACCGCTGCACGGCAAGAGCTTGGTGAAGCCCCCCGTGGGAGATGCCCGGGTGCCCCCCGAGCAGCCCGGGGGTGCTGGGGGAGCGGGGCAGCCCCAGCCCCACCAGCAGATCCTCAGAAGCCTGGTGCGGCTGTCGCTGGTGGCGCTGGCGGAGCAGRGCCCCACCGGGGAGTTCGCCATGGAGTCGCCCCCGGTGCAGGTAAGAGCGGCCCCRGGTGRTCCCRGASTGTGGACACCCCAAATCCTTCCCTGCSGGGGGCTTGCCCACCCTGGGGTGGTGGGAATGTGCAACCTGATGGTCTTTGGTGGGTCTCGGCCCCGGCCCTGGGCAGTGACCCCCCAGCAGCAGGGGCTGGATGGGATAAGCAGCCCCCCCATCCCTGCAGGTTCACTCCGGGAGCGGGGCTGTCCCAGGGAGAAGGGGACAATCTTATCGACAGGGAACGGCAGGAGGGCCGCAGGGGAAGCTCAGGGCCAGGTGGGCTGCCCAGGGCTTGTTTTTCCACCGGTGTGGGGATGCTGAGCCATCTGCAGGAGGAGGAAACGCTATAAAAAGGCCGGGGGGCTCGCAGGGACGTCCTGGCAGGAAGCAGCTTGAGCGGCCGGCCCGGGGCTCAACAGGCTTTTCCTGCCTTCCAGCAAATCTCGCAGCTGCTCTCCCTGCTGCACCAGGGCCAGTTCCAGCCCAAAACAAACTACAGGGGAAACAAGTACACGGCCAAGAACGGCAGCAGGTAAGGCTGGCTCCCAGCACTTCACTTCCCCGCGCCCCTTCCCCACCAGCCTGAAAACCTCCGAGGGCAGGGGACAMCAGGGCACCGACACACAAGGGAAAGCCTCATTCCCTGAGAGTGGGGAGGTTGGTTCTCCCTGCAGGGGATGGTGCTGCTCCTCTGGTCCTGGCTCCCAGCAGTGTCCAGCTGCTCTTTGCCTCCTTCCCGGGCACCTTTGGCAGCTCCCTCCATGTTGACCTGAGCTCCTCCATGGCCATGAACCATCCTCCCATCCTTGCCACGAGCACCCAGGTTCTGGTGGGATGGGCAGGGGTGCTCAGGATTGCAGAGGGGCCCTGCTCTGTGGGCAGCAGCACAGGATGAGTGCTCTCATGGCTCTGGGCACTTCCTTGGAGATGCTGTTGCCTCCTGACATGAGTTTGGGGTGTTGTCTTTTGGCTAGTTTTAGAATTATGAGGGGATACTTAAGGGGATAAAGGTGTTTTATCTTGGTCTTTAATAGGATCGCGGGTGCACAGCTCTACAGGAGGAAAATGTTGAAAATACACACCCTGTGTCTAACACGCGTACAAGTTTTATAGACCTCACAAATGAGCWGWTCTATCTASAATTCCCCAATAAGAAACTTAACAAAAGCAGTAATCTCCGCCCTGTTCTAAAGAATTCTGCCCCCAGAAACTGAGKCCAGAGCTCAGTTTACACAATGTGTTCTAGAGAGAAGGCTCCAGTCAAKGTTAGAGCCTTGAGTTTTGAGACTGCATGGGACTCACCGGCCTCCTACTAGGGTTGTTTGGTCTCTCTGCTCAGCAGAACCCCAAAACTAAGCTGAAATATCAGGTTACAGGAATTACAAGCATGTGGGYGAAGGGTACAAAGAATACATTAAGGGTACAGAAATGTCTAAAAGGGTACATAARAATATAAAAGGGTATATAAAAAGGCAAAAACATCATCAGGCATAAGGGGCACCAGGAGGYGACTGAGTGAGGAGCTGCCAGCAGGGCTGGAAACACTGAGCTGGCCCAGCTGCACYAAGGATGTTCCCAAACTTCATGGTGTTCCCATTAATGACGCTGTTGACATCTCTGAGTGAACACTCATCACTGCTGGCCATGTCCCCCTGTCCCCACCTGCCCAGGCCATGGGCAGACTCAGTTTCCTTCACCTTTCTCACCTGCAGCTTCTGAGGATGGAGAGGGGGAGGGAGGCAGAGCAGCTCCCTGGGGCAGGCTGGGCTCCTCACCTGGTCCTGCAGGAGGGAGGGATGCTAGTCTGAATCCATGGGAAGGAGCCAGCAGCTCCCTGTTTGCTCAGGATGTGCCCCATCCCTGGAAATGTTCCAGGCCAGGTTGGAAGGGGCTTGGAGCAACCTGGTCCCRTSGAAGRTGTSCCTGCCCATGGCAGAGGGTGGGACTGGATGATCTTTAAGGTCCCTTACAACCCTTCTGTGATTCTGTGATCTTGCTGCAGAAGGATAAAAMCCCCCTCAGGCGAGAAACGAGGAGCCCAACCAACCCCAACACTCTTTCATTGATGGGCTCTCGAAATGTCTTTGGTTCTGTGAGTGACGCACGGGGTCAGTGCCCACAGCCCCTCTCTGGGGCATTTTGGGGCGATGGAGACCCTTTAAAGGGCTCACTGGGGCAGGGCTGTGCAGGAGCTGAAGTGACTTGGCTGTTGTGACCCCTGGCAGGGCTGCAGGACTGGATACAGGTCTGGACACAGGGCTGGACACAGGGCTGGACACTGGGATGGACACGGGGCTGGACACTGGGATGGACACAGACTGCCTGAGCACCAAGGACAGCGGGCACGGCGAGAGCGAGGCCGGCGACCGTGACTGCGACAGCGCCTTCGAGCTCTCGGTGCAGCAGCTGGTGGGAGAGGAGCTGGAGACCCTCCTRGAGCCACAGGCAGGTGAGTGACCTCGCTGCTGGGACAGGGCAGGGCTGGGGGGCTCCAGCAGCAGGGTGTCCTCAGGTGACACTGGCCCCAAGATGCCCAGCTGGCCTGCAGGGCACCTCGCAGCCATGGAGTGGCTCTGGCCAGGGCAGTGCTTGGGGCAGCACGTCTGGACCATCCCACGCCTTTCATACCAGGCAAAGGGACTTGCTGAGACTCATGTTGGATTTTTCCATGTGTTTGTGGAAAATGTGTTTATTCCATCYCTCCTGTGGATGTGTCTGCTGTGGTTTAGGGTTCAGTGATGTGTCAGCTTGACCTCTGCCATTGCTCAGGGGTGAAGTCCAGTTTCACAGTGCAGCTGCTRAGCTGCTCCCCACGCTGGCCTGAACCCTCCTTTCCTGCTCTCCTGCTCCATGCAGGGTGAGAAAGGTGGGCACTTGCCCTTGTCAAGCCCCTCAGGATGTTGTGTACCCTCAGAGCCCCATTAGTGTCTTCTTTCCTCTTCATCTCCTGTGACCAAATTCGGTGTGTCTTTYTGGAGATGTGTGACCAGAATTGTGCACAGTGTTCAGGACCCAYTGGGGGTATAAGGAGGTTTTCAGGTTTGTTCCTCATTCCTGTCCTGCMCAAGCTCCCTGCTGAGCTCTGCTCTTGGTGACTCCCAAAATCCTTCCTCTATCAATACATGACATGTGCGTCCCTGGGACAATTGCCCAACAGCTGGTGACAGAAATTCTCCAGCCATGTTTTGCTCGTGGCCCTCAGCACTATCAGGTCCTTCAGCAGCCYTCTGCTTTTGGGTGTTTTAGCAGAGTCAATGCCAACACTGTCCCCTTTCTGTGTCATTTATCACYGTGTGGAGCAGGTACTCTGGGACTCTGCTAATGACCTCCCTTGGTGAGGAAGATTAATTATTCCTACCCTCACTTCCCAGCTTTTAACACATATGAGTCCCTACAGAACCTGGCTGTAAATTCAGGCACAGCTCAGGTCCCCTGCAAGCCTGGCTGGGGCTGTTCCACCAGCCCAGGTGACCTCTGCCATCACAGAATTGAATCATGGAATGGTTTGGGTTGAAGGGAYCTTAAGAGTCATCCCATCCCATGGGCAGGGACACTTTCCACTGTCCCAGGTGGCTCCAAGCCCCGTCCAGCCTGGCCCTGGACACTGCCAGGGATCAGGGGCAGCCACAGCTTCTCTGGGCACCCTGTGCCAGGGCCTTCTCTCCCTCCCAGGGAATTATTCCCAATATCCCATTTCCCACTGGCAGTGGGAAGCCATTCCCTGTGTCCTGTCCCTCCAAGCCTTTGTCCAAAGTCATCCAGGACTCTTCATCCAGCCCTTCCACATTTCCAGAACCCAATTCCCCCCTGACAATGCCATGTGGTTCCTCTGGGAGCAGCAGCTCTGTGGCTCTCTCTGCTGAGCCTGTCACAGAAGGATTTCTCTGAATCTGCCTGCACTGGATTCACCTTCACACGCTTAGAAACTCCTGTCACCGTTTGCACCTCCCCTCCCTTGGACCCTGCATTCATTTGAAGCCGTAGTTAATGAACAGCAGCTAATAAACCAGGCAATTTCATATCTGAGTTCCTCTGGCACTCCGGGGTGAATACCATCTGGGCCTGACATTTTCTACATGTTCCTTTTATTGATTTGTTCTAAAAATCTCCTCTACTGGCATTTCAATTTGAAAGAGTTGGGCTGACTCATGTCCTGTAGCAGAAATTTCATTGTGGAGCCTCTGTGCWCCTCCTCAGAAGAGAAACTCATTGAGCTTTACTGCTGGCGTGGTTTGGATTCCAGTGCTGGGCATTTTTGGTGCTCTTCCTTAGGGACAGAACCTCCTGCCTCCCCTTTGCATCCTTGCTCTTTTATTCCAGTAGGGAGCAAAGGAAGGAAAGGCTGAGACCTAAAAGCTTCCTTAGATTCCAAGGTCCTGCAGCCAAGAGCAGGGAGCAAACAGGAGCCCAGCTCCATCCCAGGTGCACTGACACACCCTGATCCCACCAAAGGGACTGGGGGCCCTGCCCAGCASCTCTGCCTGGATCCAGCCCTGCCCATACAGGGAGCATCCTAAAAAATGCTGCCGTGGTGAGGCTGATCCACAAAGYGCCATCTCCTATGATTCTTGGATCTGACAGGAAAAAGCCTCTCATGCCAAAGCACTGGAATTCCATGGAATCATGAAGGTTGGAGAAGCCCTCTCATCATTCCCTAGCACTGCTGGGTCCATCACTGACCCACGTCCCTAAATGCCACCTCCACRTTCCTGGGATAATGATTCTGTCACTTCCCTGGGCAGCCTGTTCCATGGCACAGGRAATGCCCCAGGGAGTGCTGAGGCTCTGTGGATTCCTGCTGGCCATGCCCAAAGACGCTGCTCTGCTCCAGGGACATGAAACCTCCCCCAGGAGCCCAGACCTCCCCACAGAGGCGCCGGAGCTGCTGGGCTCCTTCCTCCTCCCYCAGACACAAACAGAGCCGTGGACTTGCATCCTGAGAGGGAGGAAGGAAGCACTGCTGGTGCTCAGGAGTATCCTAACAGCTGGCTGAGGCTGGCTGGGCCTCCGTGCCGCTCCCAGTGTGGGAATTGCGGGGCTGATGTGTCTCRGCAGCTCTGGGATTGTTTGTGCTGCGGGGTGAACTCCCCACAGCCCAGCACAGCGCTCCCAGCAGCAGACGAGAGATAGAACTTTATGGATGATAAAAACAACCCCTGCTCCCCAAACACCATTAAAACAAGGCAGTAAAGAGTTATTGGTCAAATTAAACATAGCTCATGATGAGGTTTCACAGTCACGGGATCGTCAGCCCGCTGAGCCGGGGCTCTCCCTGCAGAGAGCGGAGCAGCCGTGCCCTGTGCCAGAGCTGAGGCAGCCAAATTCCCAGGGAATAAAGGGGCTCCTTGCAGGCTGGGGAGCAGGAAACTGCATATTGGACAGCAACACCTGCAGCACACTCGGGTGATTAAGGAAGGTCTGAAGGAACAGCCACTGTGACTCAGGCACTGAGACTGCAGAGAAAAACCCTGCATGTGAAGCAACACAAAAGAATTTTGGAGCTCCAGCTGAAACCAAACTGTAAGGGATGTCCGTGCCCTTCTCTCCTTACCAGGTTGGAGTCCCAGCTCTCGTCCCCATCCCACCCCAAAGCAGTGGTTTTCCAGTGAAAAGGGAGGAATTGCTTGGTTGACTGAGGAAGGAGCCTTGTCCCAGTCACTGACTGCAGGTCCTACATCCCAGGCTGTGGCAGGGCATTGATTATCCTCTGGAATCAGCAGGACAAGAGCACTGGAATGGGGACCTTCCTTTCTGATGTCACTTAAATTAGAGCCACACCACTATTACAGTGACACCAGCTCTTGGCATCCTGGCACTGCTGTGTTTTGTGACCAGTGATGTTTTGCTGCTCCCAAAACCTTTCCCAAACCACGTGGTGGCTCTGAACCTCCCCAAGCATCTGGGATGTGCTTTAGAAAGGGACAATGAGGGGCTGGAATGCAGCCTCTGTGCACCTCAGCACAGACTCTTGTTTACCATAAAACAAGWATCCCCATTTCCCTTCCTGCTGTCTGACAAGGAAGCTATTCCAGGCTCCCCCTGCTATGGGGTCCTTCCTTTATTTTCCAGGAGATGTTTATTCATGGACAGTTATAATCATTTCTTCTCTTGCCAACACTATTTTAAGCATAAAGATTTCCTTTGCTGGTGTTTGTCTCCTCAAAATAACGACAGGTTGCAGTCAGATCCCTGGAGAGCACTTGCTTCCTTTGGAGCAGCAACCCCCACCTTGTGGGGTCTCCATTGTGTCACCCTGGATCACTCCTGGTTTCATCTCCAGAGTTCTCCATGCTGGTGTCGTTTCAGCTCCTCTCTCCCACAGATGGATAATCAGATTTGTGTGCAATTCCCCCAGTCAGACCCAGGAACAATCTATCCCGGCTGTGCCTCYATGCTGACAGGGAATACCCTGACCAATCCACTGTGTGACTCCAGTYGCCCATTTTGGGGCTCAATCAAATTACTGCTGCACTAACGAGCCTGCCCCAGCCTCCAGCCTGGGCTCCCCCTGCTCCTCAGCTGTTTCCAATCGAGGAACAACAACTTTAGAGCTCAATTGTTTGGTCCCAGTCTCCAACCATCCAGCTGTGCATTTTATAAGCCACAATTTCATTCTGGCATTATTGTTTTCACAATAACCCATTTCTTTTCGGTCTCAATCTGCCTTCTTAGCAGCAAATTCCCACCCTGGAGTGACCCTGAAGGGAAGTCCACTATCTTTGTGTTCAACACTTCCCCCTGGAAAACTTTTCATTGTCTGCTCCCCTTTAGCCAGTCCCAAACCCTCCCTCTCTCAGGCTTTGCTAACAATTTAGTGAAATGCCAATTGAGACTGCAACAAATGAGAATGAACAGGGCTTCTAATGGTTATTATATTAAAACAAAACAAAAAGCCCAATAGTTTTAAACCAGTTCTATTTTGTTTGTCTTTTTTAAGCTGCTGGTTTGCATGGTCACTGGGGACCTTTCTACAACCATCCCCCTCAGCTGATTTTMGATATTTTCATTTATCAATGTTTTTATTATTGTAAAAATTTAAATTTTACTTTAAATTTTATCTTATTTTTTTCTCCCTCTTTTTTGCTGTGCTCCCCCTCCCCAGAGCTGGCCCTCAAGAGGCTGACAGCAGCAGACCCAGCGTGGATGGCCCGGCTGTCCCTGCCCCTCACCGGCAGCTACAAGGACAACATCTTCTCCCCTGACTCCCCGCATTCCCCCGAGGATGAAGAAGCTGCAAGGCAGGAGCAACCAAGGACCTTTGAAACCTTTGGCAAAGGTGCTGGGGCTGACCCCGGTGGCAGTGGGACAAGGCTGGCCAGCACCTTCCTGTCGGAGATGAGCAGCCTGTTTGAAATGATCCTGTCACAGAAGGTGCAGGTGCACAGCGAGGCGGGCACGGGGCTCCTGCGGCAGCTGTCGGCCCGAGGGCAGGGCCTGGCACTGGGGGACACTGCCCCACACCTGTAGGAGCTCGGTGGAAGTGGCAGGAACACAACAGACACAGTTTTGGGGTGCCCATCCCTATCCCAAACCCCAGCAGGGTCACTGTATGACCCATCCAGACAGGTATTTCTTCCTTTGCCTTGCCCCATCACATTTCCCCAGGACTGATTCCACTGTGTTTAGTTCCCCTCTCCCTGCCTGTCCTTGCCTGCCTCCTGGCCCCCCCTGCTCTGCCAGCCTCCCATCCCGTCCCGTCCCGTCCCGTCCCGTCCCGTCCCATCCCATCCCATCCCATCCCATCCCATCCCACCCAGCAGCAGGAGGACCCTTCCCCCCAGGAAAGGCTGAGGGCAGGGGTTTGTGAGAGCAACCACAGCCCAGTGAGACACATCCACGTGATCACAGACTGTGAAAATACCTGTCATGGATGTGGCTGCACTTGGGCTCCAGGGTTTCAGTTATTTAAATAAAACTGTTTTTTTCTAACACTACCCTCCCTGYGTAGCTGACACAATGGAAGTGCAGAAAGCCTGCAGTGGCAGCTGGGGAAGGGGACATATGCCTGTTGTCTCCCAYTGGCCCTTCCAGCTTCTGTGCTTCTGCCACTGCAAACCTGGTGTTTGTAAAACACCCCAAAACCAGCACTCTCCTATGGCTGCACCAAGTGCCCACAATCTCCTTCTCCATAAGGAGTGGAGGTGGCACTCAGTGCTCTGGGCTGGGTCACAAGGTTGGGATCAATCWCAGGTTGGACTCGATGAGCTCAGAGGACTTTGCCAACCTTAATGATTCCATTCCATTCTATCCTGTCCTTTGAGGCCATTGGATTTTGGAGCACAGTCCTTATCCAAAAGCAGACAACAGATGGCTGGAGTCTGCCAAAGGTAACCTGGGAAAAGGGAAGCGTGAAAACACTGTTTTGAAATATTCAGTCACAAGCYTCACCCTTTTTATGGGTTTTTGCTTTGATCTGTCTTGTCTGGGAGCTGTAAGACAGTTTTGGGATAATGACATGGGTGGGAAAACGAAGATGTTGGAGACAAAGGAAGCAGCACACAGGTGTTTGTGCCCTGCAGTCCTGGAGAAGGGCAAGGCAGTAGTGCTGACCCACAGGCTCCTGCAGCAGGGTGGGATGGCAGGTAAGGGCTTCTGGGCTCTCCTGGACCATCTCAAGTGTCCCAGCCCTGCTCTTTCCATGGACCTGGAGGTGACAGCTCCCAGCTTTAGGTGTGCACACACATGAGACACAGCAGCAATCACACAGGTAATTTAAAGCAGAGGAAATGAGAAAGTTACCCCTCTCTCTTGCTCTTGGGACTAAATGACAAGAGCTATAGAGTAAGATTTCCCCAGGTGGACTTCTTAATATCCAAAATGTTCTGTTTTATTTGGAGTCTCCAAAATGCTTGTGCAGATGAGCCCATGTCTGGCACCCATCCACAGATGGGTTTGGCCTGGTCTGCTCATGCTGCTGCTCTGCTAACACAAATCTCTTGCTGGTTTGTTTTACAAACAAAACAGGTTCTTGCACCAAAACAATGTCAGAGAGCCAARTTCTGACTGAGATGCAGCTGTGCAAACCAGGAGGGAAGCATTYGTGACTGAGGAGGTGCAGCCCTGTGGGATTCCTCTGCACCTGGGGAGCACACAGAGAGGGACAAACACMCGGCACAACCTCACATCTCCCTGTGCAAAGTTGCTTTGATGTGCCTGTTRGAGGACAATCCTACACAAAAATACCTTTTAACAAGCAGGTTTAAAAGGAGACAAATTCCTCCCTCTTGGTTCAATTTCCTGATTYTGCAAACTGCTTTCAACCCCGCAGCCCCTCTCCCATCCTGAGCAATGCGTAAGCACACTGGGGATTATCACAGCATAGGAAATCCACCCCAGGAATTTCCTGCTCCTTGTATCCTGCTTGATAAAGGAAATGGGCTAAGAAAGTTTGGTCTGAGCAGAAGGAGAGAGCAGATCAGAACAATCAGATGTGTTGAGGGCTGGCTGTGCCCCTCCCTTGCTGCGTGGAGAAGTTCAGGATGAGGCTGTTGCCTTTGTTTTGCAGAGCCTGATCTGCACAAAGCAGCAGAGCACCACGGCCACAGGAAGCCGGACAGTTTGCASAGATGCCCTTGAACCAGTTTAAACTGGTGTGAACAAATGCCTTTTTCCAGATTCACCTGCCCCAGTGGAAGAAATTATCATACCAGCTGCCTGCTGCTGCTGCCTGCCAGTGGTGCCTCCCCGCTGGGAGCATCCCTTATCCACTCTGCTGAAAACGAGCTGGTGTGCTCRGCAAACAGGGACAAGATGAATTCTGAAGCAAACCTTGCTCACTGTGTTTCAGAGGTGTGCCCATGGGAGCAGCTCRCTGCCAGGGCTGCAGGAGTGAGGACTGGGCACAGAAGGACACTGACATGGGGCAGGATGGCCAGGGACAGCTGTCACTCTCACTGACACAAGTGAGTCTGTCACATCCCATAAAAAACYGGGTCCTAATAATGAAAATTCACTTGTGCTTGCCCAGGTTTGAAAGCAGATTCAACTGGACAGTGGCAACAGAGAGCCAGCCCAGCCTGTGCTGGTAGCAGGGCCACGTTGAGGACTTGCCCTGAAGAGAGAGCACATTGCCTCAGAGGGTGTGGGCTAGGACAGTCCCAGGGGTAGTTGCCAGTGTCCCTAAATGGTGGCTTGTAAACCTTGCTGGGGTACCACGTGCAAGACATGCTGGGCTACAGGAACTGTACCCCCAAATCACACCACTGTGGGGCAGAACCACAGAATGGTTTGGGCTGGAGGAGGCTTTAAGTTCATCTTGTTCCCTGCCGTGACAGGGACACCTTCCATGGTCCCAGGGTGCTCCAAGCCCCAGTGTCCAGCCTGGCCCTGGACACTTCCAGGGATCCAGGGGCAGCCACAGCTTCTCTGGGCACCCTGTGCCAGTGGCACGGTGGGAGTTTGTGCATGGCTCTAATAATGAAATGCAGGTACAGAAGCAACGTCCTTGTGTGCAGTGTAAGAGGTCCAGAGGACTTGGCATTGCAGGAAACATCACAAGGTTTATTCTCAATCCCTGGTACTTAAAAATGCCTCCTGTTCCACGAACAGAAAGCTTTGTCTCCCCACTCACTGCCAGCCTGCTCCCAGGCCACTCCAAGGCTGCCTTGCCYCTGCCTGTGTCACCCACTGGCTGCCCTACTGCCAGCAGTGCTGGGGCTCCCAGCCCCGCAGCTCCAGAGGCACTGTCCTGGCTCCAAAGGCATGGCTCCATCCTGCACTGCTCAGCAGCATCACATGGAGCCTGTCTGTGCTCCACGAGTGGGGCAGGGGTAGGGCACAYTGTCCTGCCTGGGTGCTGGGGACACCTGCACACACAGGCTCAAGAGTCCAGAAACTGGGGCTGGAGGAGGAGGCTCTTAATCCCGAAGGGAAGGGATGCTTTGTGTGCACACCTGAAAACAGAAAAACAAGGTATTAATGCCACTGTCAAAGGCTGGGCGTGATGATCATTCAACCACAGAATATCCAGAGCTAGRAGGGACCCCTAAGGATCAAGTCCAGCTCCTGATCCTGCACAGACATCCCAACAATCCCACCCTGTGCATCCCTGGGAGYGCTGTCSAAATGCTTCCCGAATTCACACAGGTTTGGTGCTGTAACCACTTTACTGGGRAGCCTGTTCCACTGCTCAACCAACCTCTGGGTGAGAAACCTTTCCTGATATCCAGCCTAAAYSCCCCYTGACAGAWCTCCAGCCATTCCCCTGGTCACAGGGCACAGAGACTCCAGCTGTCCCTGCACTGGGAATGTTGAGAACCACAAYGAGCTCTGCCCTCAGGCTTCTCTGCTCCAGCTGAATCAGCCCAGTGCCCTCAGCTGCTCCACACAAGGCATCCCTTCCAGACCCTTCCCCATCATGGCCTCCTTTGGACACTCCCTAATGGCTTAATGACTTTTTCATATTGTGGTGCCAAARCCAGGCCCCAAAACTGGAGGTGAGGCTGCCCCGGTGCAGAGCAGAGCGGGACAATCCCTCCCTGGCCCATCTGGTGATGCTGGGCCTGATGCCCCCCAGGRCACGRTTTGCCTTTCCACCATAAATGATTCTGTGATACATCAGATTATGGGAACAGCTTCCCCACTTCAGCTGGACTGGAAAGAGGTGCTTAGAAGTGGAAAGAACTGAGCAGGAAAAGCAATGCTGTCCCTTGAATACAAAGAACTCCTTTGTGCCGTGCCCCGTGTGACCCCTCCTGTGGCAGCACAGGCCCCACTCTCCCGGGGTCACTCCCTGACACAGTGCCCAGCCCCTGGTGCCCTGGTACCTTGCAGCTCGTGCTCCCATGCCCGCAGTCTGTCCTGGGCCTGCCTGCTGCCTGCAGCCGCCGCCTGCCGGTAGTGCCTCAGCGCCTCCGCCAGGTCCTGCCGTGCTCCCAGGCCCTGCTCGTAGCACACGCCCACGTGGTACCTGCTCTGGGCATCCTGGCACAGCCACCGGCATGGGGACAAGGGACAGCAGCACAGAGAGTCTTTAACACCTTCTTTAAAGTTTACTGCTCTTTGCTCACCTTCTTAAGTTTACCCCTGTATCCCTCGGTCTGTATCTTCAGTAATTCAGTCCTCTGGAGAGAAGCAGAATCTCTGACTCTGCTCCTTCCTGTCCCTTCCCAATTAAATTCACTGATTTCCCTTCAACAGCCGGGGCTGTGTCAGGGGAACAAAGGAGCAACTGGCTCTGCAGAGCATCCGAGGTGTCTCAGAGGTCAGAGCTGAGGTGTCCTGAGCAGCCCTGACTGCGCCACATCCTGATCCCACCCAAACTCCGACCACGCCCTGGGACTGCCCTAAGATAGTGCAAGCCCAGTTCTTGTAAAAACATCACAAATGGCACAGAAGTTCTTGCTGCCAAGGGTTGGGAGATTCCCCTTTAACACAAGAGTGCAGCACTCTCCTGCTCAGCCCCACCTAATTCTATTCCAGCAGAAATCTCAAGCAGCAGAAATGAAGTAAATGAAGCAAACATGCACTAGAGAAAAAGCACCTGAACCACTCAGACATATGWAACTGCTGGGAATGAACTGGAAAGCAAAGTTGTCACTGCAGTGAAGCCAAATCCAAACCCATGACATGTTTATGTGTCAGCTGTGCACTYTGAGATCCAGTGGGAGGAAAAGGGTCTCAGACAGCAGGAAAGCAGGATGACACTCCTGAAGACATTAAAAAGACTGCACGGACTTGTGGTCACACAGACCTTTCCAGTAACAAAGCCAGCAGCACAACCTGAACAGTGTGACTGCCAGAAACATGATCTAAACAAGGCTTTGGGGAAAAAAAGAAAGAAAAGAAGAAAGAAAAACCAAAAAAAAAAAACCCAACCCAGTAAGTAGCAAGTTTTAATAAAGCCATGAGAAAAGAACATATTGCAAGTGTTRCTGTCTGGGATGTAGCTGGTAGAGGCAAGTGAAGAACTCAGTGAGTGGGTGCTTTGCAAAATGTTGCAAGTCTCAGTTTATGACAGCAATAAACTCCKTTAGAGATGAGATAAACACGTTGAAGGATTGGCACTTCAGCTGTGACAAGAGATAGGGTTCAATCAGGAGTGCTGCACCAACCATCTCACACAGGATGAGCACCTCAGAGCCAAGACTGCCAGAGAGGAGATCCCCAAATTAGCACGGCACAAGTGACTGTGACACCCTTGGAGTTCTGGAAGTCAGGCTCAGTTCTCCACCAGCACTCTTTAATGGGGGTTTATAKTCTGTGGCTGCATGTAGGAAATAAGGCAGGATAAAAAGTGGGAACCGAAGTAGAACAGTTCTTGTGTTGGAAAAACACTTGTCAGAATTCCCTGCTCGGCTCTAGCTGAGAGGAACAATCAGAGAAACGCTGAATCCGTGACTTTTTGTGCCTGTTTTCATTTTTCTGAAGTTGCACTAAATGCTGCTGCCCTTGCTTCATCTATACCCAGCATTCTTTCAGCCAACTAAACAAAAATTCCAGCTCCAGGGTGATAGGAAGTGAACCTGTCCATGGAACCCTTCTCCCAGAGAAGCAGGTACATCCCAGGGAGCCCCTGATCAACTGCTCTCAAGGCTGAGCCTCTGGAGCAGAGATGGGGAAGGATGCTTGGACTCTGAACTGCCATGGCTGGAACCAAAACATGCCAGGGGCACACCTGAGGAGCTGCAGTTACCTGCCAGGTTTTGTGTTGTTAATGCATTACCAGTAAAAGACAAYCTTCTATTTAATGGGATAATTCTATGTGATATTGTTCAGCATAAACACCTGACTCCAGGCTGGAAGAAAAGGAGATAAGCATACAGTTTATGAGAGATCTTCAGCAGATTCAGAATTAACTASTGAGGGCTGTGATGCCTGAGCTGCTGCTGGAAGCCAGGCCTAGTCCCATCACAATGACAACATCTCCATCCTGAACAGAGGATAAAAACCCAAGTGCCAAAGTTTACAATGATGTTAGGCCATTCAGAGTGGTCAAACTTACTGTAAGGAATTCATTAAAGAAGATCTCACAAGACTAAGGAGCAGGCAACACAATSACAAAGGAAACAGTACTGGCAAATGCAAAGTAGTGCTTATAGAAAGCTTATAGAAAGAAATTTGGGTGTCCCACTGTGATGGTTCCCTGAGCCCATCTAATCACTGCTCAGTGTCAGGCAAAGGGCAAACAGCATTAGGAATTATTGCAAGGGAATGCAGAACAAAGCTGAGGATCTCATTATGTGAGCTCCATGGCGTACCTCCATCCTGAGTCCACTTTTAGTCCAAGCATCTTAAAATGGTCAAAGGAGAATTAGAAAAATAGAGAGAAGACTGACAAGCAAAATAGAACAGCTTAACTACACGGAGAGACAAACTAAACCAGCACTGAGCAGCCTGCAAAAGAAATGACTCAGAGAGGACACACTAAAGGGCACCACAACCAGAACTATTAGCCAGCAGAACAGGCAATAGCTATTCATTATTTTCCATTGCACAAAAGCTGGGGGAACTGAAGTTAAAATGAACAAGTTCTTCAGGGAAAAAAAAAACCCTGGCCATTATAATGCAGCTGAAAACAAGGGGACAATGTCGCAGTGCTGGAAAGAAACAGAGCTGTGGGATGCAGAAACGTGCCTGCAAGACATGGCATCCACATTTCTGCTCCTCTGAACATTGGTGGGGGCTCAGGAGAGTGCTGTGCCCACATTGTGGCACTGCCCTTCAAAAGAGAAGCCTGGGTCATTGAGAAAGTGCAAACAAGAAGATTCCTGGGGATCTGGGAAGAGAAATAGCAACAATGGGGTAAGGCTGAATGGAGATTCAAGTATTTAAGGATGTTAAAAGTCCCTGAATTAAAAAATAAATCCAAAAACAGTCTTTTCATCCTTTCTATAAAAGGAAAGAAACAAGGGGCCAGTTTGGAAGAAGAGATGTGAGACAGACACAACAAAGTTCTCCAAGTGAAGCAGTAGTGAAAGATTTTGACTGAAGAGGGTGTAGATGCTCCATAATGGGAAACCTGCACAATTCTGGTAGCTGGATACAGGCACTGGTGCTGCAGGAACTGCTCCAGCCCAACAGGGCTGTCTCTGCCTCCATGTTCTGYAGGGTCTGTGCCTGGGGCTGTCTCCTCTCCAATAGGCATCAAGGCTCCTCTCTGTCCTTTCACACTGTGCAGTAAAATTCGCTCCCATTTCCAAAAAGCCTGAAATGTGCCTCCTGCAGACCCCCAAGTGAGGACAATCCCTGACAGAGTGATTACTTACACCACTGTTTGCTGCCTGCAGCAGATACTTCAGACCCCTCTTCTCCTGGGACTGCAGCCCCCTCATGTAGAACACGCCAAGATAAGCCTGTGCCTGCAATAAAACCACACGGTCCAGATCAGCCACGATTTTAATTACTCAGTTCTTTTACTGATTTTTCAAGCTGTTTACTGATTTTTCAAGCTGCTCACAAGGTTACTGTGGCAGTATGGTAAGGACCCCACTTGTGTAGAGGCTGCTGGGAGAGTTGAGAGGGGCTGCCCTAGGAAAAATCAGCAGGACATGATAAACACAAAGAAATCCTATTTGAGACCCTGAATATAATTTCAAACTTCCCTGTGGGAGTCAGAGCCAGGGAACGGCTCCTACTTGTGACCTGTCCCTAAGATCCAGCACTCCCTGGACAGTGTCCTAGAGTGGGCACAGGTCCTGCCAGACTGGCATTCCCAGGACAAGATGTCACAATCCTAAATGCATCTCCTGAGGAGTGGGAAAAGAGGGCAGGATACACAGATCTGCTCATTCCCGGATGAGTCATCTCGGGAAGTCACAGACACAAAATGAGGATCTGCTCTTGCTTCAGGCACTGCAAGCTCCCAGCACAGCGACCTGTACTGTTAGAACTGAGAGAAAATGAAAACTGAGCTGTGTTTTCAACCACAGGTCAGCTCTCCTAAGCCAAAGGTTTGATGCAAGAGCCACAGACAACCAATGTGTGACAATGACACAGGGGCTCCTGCGTGCAGGCAGGGCTGGCTCCCAGGCACTGCCAGGAATAAAAACAGAGAATCAGAGAAAGGTTTGGGTCAGAAGGGACCTTAAAGACCCTCTAGTTCCCACCCCCTGCTGGGAGCAGGGATAAATATGCTGGAAGGCTTTTGCTTCCAGTCTCACAAACGCTGCTCTCTGGGATGCCCTGTGGCTCCCAGCCCTCAGTGAGGGCTCTGTGCTGGCTGTCTCCTGTCACCTGCCGTGCTGTGGAACCAACCTCTGTAATYCCAGCCACTGCTGCTTGCTCCAGGAGTGCCACAGCCTTGTGATGCCTGTCCCGGGCGTTGGCAGGGCCGTGCTGCAGGAGGAACCTGGCATAGCGGTACTGGGCCATGGGGTGACAGCTGCTGGCTGCCYGGCAGTAATAAAATCCTGCCTGCAAAAAGAGAAAGCCAGGTAAAACATGCCCTGAGCATGACATGGCTCCTCTGTCTAGACCCATCACAAGCTGCAGCCTTCCCCAGAGCCCTCCTACACCTCTCTGCAGGAGAAATTCAGCTGGCTTCAGTGAGCCACTGGACTGTGCCTACCCCAGAGCCCTGGAACCATCCTKGCTGATCCAGTCCAACCTCCCCAGGCTGAGGAGGGTGGCACTGGGCCAGCAATGACTCAAACCAAGCTGCCTTTGCAGCTCTTCCCAGCTCCAGCAGCTGCTGGCCAGCTTGCACTAGATGGCAGGCTGTAGTTACAGACCCAAACTGGAGAAGTGAGAAGCCCTGGGATGTGCAGTGGTGTCTTAAATACAGCAACATGACAGGTTTCTCCTCAGAACCCCGCTGGGTGCTGGTAGCACAGCCTGTGCACCTGGAGAACCCTCACGAGCTGGGGGAAAGGGGATCTCAGAGCACCTCTCGGAGGGCATCGATGGCACTCAAGGCAGCTCTGCAGAGCTGCAATTTTTATTATTTCCAGCATTTTCTACTGAATCTTCAGAGACTGGGCACTGCCCAGGCTCCCCAGGGAATGGTCCCAGCCCCGAGGCTGCCAGAGCTGCAGGAGMRTTTGGACAGCGCTGCCAGGGGTGTGCAGGGTGGGATTGTTGGGGGGTCTGTGCAGGGWCAGGAGCTGGACTCGATCCCTGTGGGTTCCCTCCAGCTCAGGACATTCCATGACTTCCTCACTCGTGTAAAAGGAACAAAGCTCCAGCACCCAACAAAGCCCCATCTATGGGTGGCTGCTGCCCACGCCCAGCCCCCCAAGCCCYGGGTACCTTTTCCAGGTCCTTTTCCGTGCCCCTGCCATGCTCGTAGCACAGCCCCACGTTGAACTGGGCTTTGCTGTAGCCCCGATCYGCCGCCAGCTTGAAGCAGGTGAAGGCAACCCGGCTGTGCCCTGCCCTCATGCTCTCAATCCCTGGGGAAAACACAGCCTCAAAACCAGGAAAACAGGGAAAAGAGCACATGGCCACAACCCAGCCTCCACTGCAGCAACCTCCCCCACAGCCACTGGGCCTTCCTTGGCTCACACCAAGTGCTCTGGGCCACTTCCAGCTGGCTCACCAACCCTCACTCCACAGTTTCCATAAGAAAAATGGCAACACTGCATTTTAGGGATTTTTCTAGGCTTGTGGCAAGGAGGGATCACAGGCTAACACAACGTATGGCTCACACAGAAACAACTTGCTTTTCAGTGCTTCAACTAATGGTGTATATAGGGCAGGGACTTTTCTTAGCTCATTGCATCTTCCTTCTGCTTTTCTTAGAGTTGCAATCCCRCAATTGCTTTTTCAGCTTGCCAGGAAAACTGTGAGCTCAGACAATAAAAGGAGGATACAAGGATGTGACATCTTGTGTCGCAAAAAAGACAGAGATGGCTTAATTTCCAACTACAGATGTCAGGACAACAGTGCAGGCTTCAAGCAAGCCTGGATTGAAATATGCTGAGATAAATCAGGTGGCACGATGGGACAAAGGGCAATAAATCTCTCCAAGCACAGTTAAAATTGCTGAAAGGAGGCTTCAGCTTGGGTATTTGCCATCCCTGACTTCTCATAAGACCTGCAACCATTTGGAGGTCCTCCAAAATGAGAAACCTGTGGTTTAAGGGCAAAACAAAACCAACTCCACATTACCAAGGATATTCAATGCAATGGAAATATCAATTCGGAAAATCTGCTGCAATTGGAAAGCGGCTTCCTCTAAATGCCCTCGCAGAGCTGGGTCACCCTGAAGAGTCAAAGAAAAAAGCCATTAAAGACAGCTAAATCATATCAAGCCTAGAGGATATTCCTGCCTGCAAACCAAGCAGTGAGACCTGTTTGTATTGTAGTACAGTCCTAAGGAGGGTGATGTCGTATGTCCACACAAAAACCTCCCTGTCCCAACACAGCCACCTCACTGGGGAAGCTGCATGGAAAATGCTCCCCTCCYCTCTGGCCAGGGAGCTTGGTGAAGCCTCTCAGGCATCATCAGACCTTGCAGAATTCAGAAAAAGCCTTATCCTAGTCACAGCATTCTGCATCTGATACTACTCACTGCAGGCTGCAGCTCCTCCCGAGGGGCAGCGCAGGGACAGCTCTGAACTCTGCTCCCTGGGACAGGGACAGCAGCCAGGGAACAGCTGGAGCTGGGCCAGGCCAGGCTCAGGCTGGAGAGCAGGGAAAGGTTCTTCTGTSCCCAGAGGGTGCTGGCACTGCCCAGGCTCCCCAGGGAATGGTCCCGGCCCCGAGGCTGCCAGAGCTCCAGGAGAGTTTGGACAGCGCTGCCAGGGATGCACAGAAGGGGGATTGTTGGGGTGTCTGTGCAGGGACAGGRGCTGGACTGGATGATCTTTTGGGGTCCCTTCCAGCTSAGGATAYTCCATGATTCTCAGATAACTCCCCCCTCCAAAAGTAACATGGCCCCTTGTTCCCTCTCAGAGCACATTGTGCCCAGAGCACAGTCCCTAACAGCACCTCCCACCTCTCCATGGGCTTCACGCTGTTCCAGCTGAGCCCAGCCCTGAGCTGAACTGAGCACTGTTTGGTGCTGCTGAAACCCTGAAGGACACAGCCAATTCCCTTCCTCCCTGTGTTGAATGGAAGGGCTTAGGCCAGGCCAGCTCCACACCCCGAGTGGCAGCAGAGCTCAGGCCACACAGGGCACATGGGAAATGWCCCTTGGCACCCACAGCCCCACTGCTCAGTGCAGGGCTACTTCCAGGAGGCCAAGACAGGGACCAAGCCCCTCCTGAGCTCTGCTCCATGACCATGGACCCAGCTCCCTACAGCCCTACACAAGTGGCACCTCCCAGGATAGGGAGATCCACACTCACCCCTTCAGCAGATCAAACAAATGCCTTCTTGGTGCCTTTTGTAGGAACTCACGCTGCTAAAATCTGAATTTACTTCCTCTCTGCTCAGAGTGTCCTTGAGCAATTGCTCAGCCGACTGATTTTTTCAAAAGGGAATTATCTGCATCTAAGACGTGAATTGCAAAGAATTGGCAGGTTTAATCACAACAAGAACAATAATATAATTTATGGCCTTGTGACTCTCGAGCTGATGCACTCTCTTCAAGCCCCAAGTGCTTCCCTCTTAAACAGACAAGAGTCAGCCCTGATTTGCAGCATTTGGAGGAGTGACACCACCTTCCCCAGTCATGGGTTGTCTGGTAAAAACCAAAATAGCAACAGCATGTAATCACCTAGTGAAAGATTGCATCGAAATGCAAATACACAGGAACACGCTGGTGCTGCTGAATTTGTTTTTTTTGTTTGGTTGCTTGGTTTGGTTTGGTTTKGTGTTTTTCCCCATTTCCTTTCAGTGCTTCCCTGCCAGCAGCTCTGTTACACGGATACCTCAAAGGATGGGGATGTCAGTTTGTAAATGATGGAATTTTGTTCTGGCTAAAGCAGAGCCCAGGATATCCCATCTCCCYTTCTTTTTCCAGCCTTGTGTGTGAGTGTTGCTCAGGCTGTGCTTGGGGTAGCTCTGGGATATGTTCCTGCAGGGAAGCTGCAGACAGGGGGTGTGGAAAACTAAATCTTACCTTTGCACTGTGGAGAACTGGCCCCACCCTGGAGCTCACAGGGATTTGGAACTCCCCTGCATTAAAAAAAAAAGCAACAAAAAAGCAAGATTAAGCACTGCTGCATCTTTGCCTCCTTCCAGCCTCTCTATTCCACAGCCCTTTCCTTATGAACTGATCTCCCATTCAGTCAGGGACATTAAGAACAGCAGCAATGCCAGTCAATCTGCCCTTTGGAGCAACAGCAACCATGTGCCACAGGAATCCAGSCCTGTGGCTGCAGCTCCTCCAGAAAGGCCCCTGGTTTTCATTTGGAGACAATAAAACATAGAAAATCTCCTTCTTCCCCTAAATGTGTGTTCCAGTAACTTGTAATCACTGCTTTAAACCTCTGTGCTTCATTTCAAATTAAAGTACTTCTACTCTGGTTTCTGCTCTCAGGCACTRGCTCTTCTGGGTTTTTTCTTCTTCACTAAAAAGCCAATTCCTCCTTTTGAAAGTCATGACATGACTAATCAGCCCCTTTTGATTCCTGTCTGTGATTCTAAAAAGACTGCACCATTCATGTCTTTCAACTGCAGCACTTTTCTGCCAGACTTGGTTAATTTTATGACTTTTGCTACTATTCCTGAATTTCCAACATTGTCCCTGAGGGGCAGACCCTCTCACCAGTGGCACAGGAAGGGTGGATCAGAACTGTGCCCAGCTTGCCCAGGGCATCACACCCAGCTCTCAGTTGAAGTGCTGCCTCCTGAACTCCTTCTCCAGGGAATTTCTTTCCAGGGTCCAGCTCTGCTAAGGGATGATCTGCCCCTTCTTCCCCCTCAGCTCATCCTGCCCTCTCAGATCCACTGGGACAGCCACGTGTTCAGCACTGTGGGGCCAGTTTCAATCAGTATATCTAACAGAGCATCTACAGCCAAAGCTAAGGCACCCTGCTCAGGGCAGAATTGTGCTGGCAGCGATGACAGTGACATTTAGTGCAGCCACTCTGAGAGGACAGTCACCTCCACAAACAGGACAGACAGGCTGAGGCCAAGTATTTTTAACCTGGATCACCACAAGCAGGTGYATCCCAGTGGACAATTAACTGCAAGTGCTGAAGCCTGGATCGCTTGGAGCCAGAGCTGCTCACAGCAGCAGTGGCTGTTCTCTCTCCATGTCYCCAACTCGAGCTGTGTGGGAGCCAAAACAAGTGGAAAAAACACCCTTTTAGGGCCTGATTCCTTGATTGCTGGCTCTGTTTGGCTCCACAAGCACTTGTGGCAGCRCAGCAGCAGCAATGAGGTGTGCAGCAGGCAGGAGTGCTCCTTGCAGTGCCTGCACTGTGGCACAGCATGCAGGAAGCCRTGGCCCATGTGCCAGCTGCAGCCTCATTATTCCCAGACAAACAATTCCCCCCTGGCTGTATTCAAATGTGCGTTATCTGAACAGGCCCCACTCATCCAACAAGCGAGATCACTATGGCAAACATGATTTCTATGCATCATTCCACCAAAAGTAGTATAATCTGTGAATTTATTAGTCGTGCTTTCCATTTCTTTGCAGACCAGGCATCGAATTATCTGATATTTCTCACTGTAAGGCTCTATCTCTCGTTCATGTATCTCCCTCGTGATGTAATTTGGGTTTTTGCCACACATTCAACTGCAAATCCCATGGAAAAAAAAAAGGTCTGTGTTAAGAATTCTCCCACTACTTGTTTAAACAGCATTAGTACATCCRTGCTTCCAAGAAACTGTACATTTTGCACAGATGCCTACTCCTAAATCAGAGATTCCTTGTTTACTGTGAAAACATCGTAATTTGGACAAACCACTGAACCATGAAAAATAAACARCCACTAATTCTGAATTCTGCCAGCCTGCAGAAGCACCTCGTGCCCCTCCATCACAGARAACCCCTCCTCACTCAAACCCCAGTGATCTCCCCACATTAGGGTTACCATTCCCAGAGAAAACATGGAAGGAAACACAAGGACCAGCTGATCCTGACACCCAGCCCCATCTCCTGAAGGGTCAGTGAGTCCCAGGATGGTTTGGGCTGGAAGGGAAATTAAASCTCACCCAGTTCCTCCCCATGCCATGGCAGGGACACCTCCCACTAYCCCAGGCTGCTCCAAGCCCCRTCCATGCTGGCCTTGGACACTGCCAGGGACACAGCTGCTCTGGGAGACCTGAATTCCCTTAGCCTCACCTCTGAGACTGGAGAAGGTGAATTATTCTTCAGGTCATGTCTAAAGATGGGAATATCACTGCTGGAATTTTCTGTGCAACTTTATTTTTACTTCTTCAAAGCCATGCTATGATGCAACCTGACTGCATTTCCTATTTTTCCACACCATCTTGCAGCTTTCAGTGCTCTGGATGCCCAACACTCACATCTTCAGCAGTTAATAAATATTTCTGTCTTTCTTCCCTGTTCATCCTGGACTAATCAAGTGTTGCTCACAGCTAGCTCCAAATGAGGAATTAATAATCTTTGCATAGACAGCCTAGATTGCTCATCCCAAAACATCCACAGGAACGAAGTCACAACAAGAGCTGGCCAAAATCCAGCATTTCTGCCTCATGGAAAATTTCACTGTTTCCAATTGGTTTCATTGTGTTTTGAAATGAAAACACACTTTTGCAGTGTCTGTAATCTCAGAATTGAAATAACGAATTTTACAGTTCTGCCAGGGGTAAAATACAACTCCCCAGGGCATCATTCAGCTGCTGTAACACTGAGACTGGCTGTAATCACCTGCTTGCTCACTCTGTGCCTTTAACTCCCAGCAAAAAGGCTCTGAGTGAGGCAAGAATTGCATGGGAAAAAATAAGATGTGAACACAGAGCTGAGGTCTCGCTGGTAGCAATATCCAGAATGCTATTTAAAGCAATTTTTAAGTTAATCTCCTAAAGTTTTCTTTTTAAACAAAGGAACAGATTTTTATCCTATTGTGCTACATTAGAATTGGAATGGCTCCTGGGGAAAGCTGGGATCCATCACACAGATCTTTGCACAGCAACAGCAGATTGTCACTGTACAGGGAGACCAGCACCAGCAAGCCTGGAAATGAACAGAAACACTGAGAGAAAGGGTAAGGGCATGGAATTCTCCCCAGAAGATCCCTTGCCATTGCTGGCAGCAGCAAATTGGAGCAGGACATTCTGCTCCTCTCTGAGCTCTGCTCTCCCATGGCAAGGCTTTGCTACCAGATTCCGCGGCATCATCTGCCAGGCGTCTGTCCTTCCCTTCCTTCTGCTCTCCCCAGCTTCCTGCTGCATCCTCATTTTGCCAGCCTCACCCACTTTCAGTAGCTAAACACCAGGAAAAAAAAATCCTGTACCTCAGGCAGGTTTTTCTGTAGAAAGCAAAATGTAGTGAAAGAAAGGGAGCATCAAGCTTCACTTTCCAGGGAAAGATTCCCAGGACTTCTCACATGACAAAACCCTGCATTTTTTCAAGCTCTTCAGAGCAAATTATCAAATCTCTTCCCTCGACTTTTCTCCATAAATTCCCACAAAATGGGATGCACAACATAATGTGGAATGTAACCCGAGGACTTATGTACGGAGCAAAATCAAATTATTTCTGACATATATTATCTCTGACAAGTGACAGTTGGAGATGCTTGGGCAGAAAGGGTGAGGAACAGGGATTATAAAGTCACGCTCTCCCTGGCAGAACTTTCCAGCAATCAGCTGTTCTGTGATCTGAGCAGGAGGTTTGGCTGGACCAATTAAGTCTAATTTCAATGGGTAATTTTACCTAATCACTTCTTGGAACCCACTTGTACTTCTGGCCTGCAGCAGYGAGTTCCACAATTTACCTGGACACTGGCCAAACACAAAATGCCTTTTGCATTTTTCCAAACTTGCTACCTGACCCTTCTGTGCTGCCTTTTAAAATGTGGATTATAAAAAGATGGTTCATATTCTCTTTCTCTTGACACTTTCAGTTTCACAGAGCACCAGCACATTCTCTGTCACCTCTTTTTTTTCAAGCTGAAGAGTCAGTCTCTGTTTGGATGTAATTGTCTCCTTGTCATCTTTTCTTTGCAGCTTTGTCCCTGTTTTTCAGACACTGTCTTTTCCTTCAGTGTTCAAGACGTGGCTACATCCCAGACTCACAGGAACCCATGGCACTGCCTTGTCCTCAGCTCCTTCCTTCACCATAATTAACATTTAATTGGCCTCACTGCTGCCGAGCACTGACTTAACCTTATCAAAGGCACATCCACAGTGACTTTAAATGTTCCCTCTGCAAGACAATTATTAATTTGACACTCCTCATTCTGCATGTGTATTTACAGCCACACTCTCCATGTCCACTCATTTAACCCACCTGAGGATTACGCTGCCTTTGGTTCTTGGGCAATCTTTGCCTGTGACTTTCAGATTTGACTGCCCTGAATAATTTTGTACCATTTGCTGCTTCTGTTGCCTCGCTTGTCACCTCTTTTTTTTCCAAATCACTGCTGACTGTGCTGAACAGARCAGATTTAACAAAGGACAGGGGAATCCTACAGCAATGGCTCACCACTGTGAAAACCTTCCTGTGCTTTAAGGAGTTACCAGCCTGAGAGTAACCCCTCTGTGTTCCTTCACATCAGCTTTACTTCTTTAGATAGCTTTGGTTTAGGTCCTGTCTGGATGATTTTCAGAAAGCTAAAAGCTGGATAATCTTGCTCCACATGCCTGTTGACTTCTCCAAAGAAGTCTTAATAGATTTACAACTCTCAAGTCTCAGCAAGGGAGCAAGCTGGCCTGAGAAATGGCTCCCCAAATCCTTCCAAGACCTTTGATACAGCCCACTCATCCCAGCATCTGACACTTCTATCCTGTAACTGAGTTTCTATCAAATTACAATCACCTTTTTTTGCAGTTCTTCGCCTCAAACAAACACCCACCCACCCCTTTCTAAAAGCCAAACTGTCCAATCTGTCAGTGCTCATTTCCCTGGTCACAGAGAAGGTTTGAGGATGGGATTACAGACCATCGTTGGAGGCTCAGTGATTTCCCAGCTTCTGAAGAACATCTGAACAAAGACCGCATGGCCTCAGTGACTTGTCACTGTTCAATTTATCAGTTTGCCTAAAAGCTCTTCCTGTTGACTCTCAGCAGGGAACTTTGTCAGACACACATTCACTCCAGGATGTTCAGCTGTGCCAACTGGAGGCATTGCTGTCTCCACTTCTTCCCACCACTCCTCCCAGAGGTCCGTGTCCAGTCACCTGCCAGTGCTGGAGTGCTTCTTAATATGCTCCAGGCTAAAGCAGATGGGTTAAACAGTCTAATTGGCAGTTTAGGTAAATTAACCTGGCTGTTTTCCTGGAGTTAATTAGGAGACATGGAAACAAAATGCTCCATTTGCCAACTGATGGGAATGGTAACCTCTGGCAGGAGAAGGTTTGATAAGCAGTGATGGGCAGTAGCTGAAATCAGCACTGAAGGAGGCCAAAATTCTGCAAGAAGGCAAAAAATAGTGAACAGCTCTGATTTTTTCTGCAGCATCTTCATTATTTAAATGCTTCACTGTGAGGGCAGTGAGGCCCTGGCACAGAACAGCTGTGGCTGCCCTTGGATCTCTGGAAGTGCCCAAGGCCAGGCTGGACAGGGCTTGGAGCACCCTGCGATAGGAGAAGGTGTGCCTGCCCATGGCAGGGAACAGGATGAGCTTTAAGGTCCCTTCCAATCCAAACCAGTCTGTTATYGTGTAATTAGCCAATATCTGTGGCTGGTTTCCTTATGTGCCTCTTCTACACCRCTACTGAATTTTGTCCCCTTTCCACCTGTTCCAGCAGGTTTTCTGCTTCCAATAACTTTCCTGAGGCCATTATCAGAGTTTCTGCATCTAGTGAGCTGTGGGCCTCATCTGATCTTCCTTGGTGTGACTTTAAATCCCCTATGTAGGACACRCTTTCCTGGGTGAGACTTCAATTTTGTTGGAGTCTATCTTTCTATTTTTATAAAACTCATTTTAATAATGTCTTTGATACCGCCTTYGACTGTCTTATCTATGGCATAAGAGCTCAGAAATGCATCCTCATCCTGCAGGAAGAGAATAATTCCTTTAGTTTCACACCATGTACACCAGTCTCCCAGATCAATGGTGCAGCATCCTCCTGAATCCTTCTGGCTGCAAACATCTGTCCACAATAACAGAACAGGACTGGATACCGTAATCAGCCTGCTGAGGCAGAGCAGTGTTGGGAAAGCTGTTGTCACCTGCAGTTACAGCCTCGTCTCTCCCTTCAGGGGATTTTTTACCTCCTRTCTCTGGACTCCTGACTCATCTCTCTGAAATTCAGCCTGTCCACCCTCACCTGCCTCCTCAAGTGTCAATAAATGGCTATGCAYTGCTTTAGCCCTGAGCTTGCCTTGGGGAAACTCCGAAGTCCTTCTGCCACAAGTACCCTGCCCCAAGCACATGGCACATACCTCCTTCTGCCCAGGGCTGCCTCTCTCCTTGCCCTGAGGGGATGCCTGAGGATGAATCCTCTGGTACAGCCTCTGGACTTGCTTTCTGCAGGAACTGGGACCCCGGCTGCTCACTGGGACAGCTGGTTGAGGCTTCAGTCACCACTGTAATACAGAGCACAAAAACTGTGTCTGCTCCAGGCAACAACAGCCGATTGTGGATGTACTCARTGTTGTCTGACCATACAGACAAGCAGAAGGAAAGTTCGTGGAGCAGAATCCAGAACAGAAAACAAAGGTAAGGGCATGCAAAGTGTGACTGCACCGAATCGTTGAGAAGCAGAGATTGTCCTGACACGCTCCCCAAGGCCTGAGAGCGGCTGGCAGCCTCTCCCAGGCTCAGTTAGCACACCACGAGGCAGGAATTCCACCCGAGAGCCCCCACAGCCCTCCCTCCCCAGGCCAGAGCCGCTGACCTGTGGGCTGCGGGGGCAGCGAGGAGAGCCAGGGCACCCTTCTTTCTGTCCTGGCGTCCGGCAGCGACCTCAGCCAGGCGATCTGCCTGAGCAGCTGCAGCAGCAGCGCGCCCACAGCGCCCTAAGGAGAAGCGCACACGAGTCAGAGAGCGGCCCCGCTCCCTCGTCCCGTTCGCAGCCAGCCCCTCGTCCCCGGCTCGGGTTCGGGGATCCTCCGCGCTGTCCCGGCGCTGCTCCTCACCCAGGTGACRGCCTCCCGCACGGAGTAGCGGGGCACCAGGCCGGGCAGTGCCTGCCGCCGTCCTCCTCGCTCCGGGCCATCCTGACACGCGGGCGCCCTGCAACAACCACACACAGAGCCCCGTCAGGCCGGGCCGCGGCGCCCACCCCGGCGGGGGGATCCCGAACCGCACTCACCGCTCGGGGCTGTGGCCGCGGCCGCCGCCGCCCAGCCCGGGGGCACAGGCGGGGCGGGCGGGGGTGGGAGCACAACGACCCCGGCCCAGCAACAGCCGCCACATCCCGCCCGCCCCGCCGGCAGCGCGCACACGGCGACAGAGACGGGCGGGGGGGCGGACACGGCGGGGACACGGCGGCCCGGGGCTAAGGGGACAACGGGCACAGAAGGGACAGCGGGGACAAGCGCGGACACAGGCGGCTGGAGCCGGGCGGGCGGCGCGGCAGCATCGCCACGGAGCGGGGATAAAGCGGCACGGTCGGCACGGAGCGCGGGCAGAGCGGCAGCGGCACCACAGAGCGCGGCGAGAGCGGCACCGCCGCCATGGAGCGCGCCAAGAGCGCCGCCCGCCCCGGGAGGCCGCGCTGAGGGACCGCGCTGAGGGGGCACTGAGGGCCCGGGGCATCGTGTTTTGCAAAATGTGGAATATGTAAAACATCTCTTAAGAAAAGATTTTTTTTTTTTTTTTCCCAGTTTCATCTTGGTATACTTTCCAGCCTAATCAACAAGAAGGGAGATTAAATCCATGAAACAGCAGCTCACAAGCTCCGTGATGTCCAGGTGTTCGAAAGACCAATTACATGTTGGTAGAATCACCTAAATAATAGTGGTGACATTTCAAGAGAAGTAGTTAACAATTTGCCCAGAGTATAAGGGTGAATGAGAAGGGGATTATGAAACAGCATGCTGCCTTATTGTTGCAAAATGTGGAATAAGTTGAAATTTTCTCARGGAAGGATGTTCTCTAGTGTTTKATCTTCSTATGCTTTCRAGCCTAATCAAYAAGAAGGGAGGTTTAATCCGTGGAACAAACAGYAYCTCRCAAGCTCTAAGTGATGTCCAGGTGTTAGAAGGACAAATTACTTGGAATTACCTTGTTAAGGTTCAGGGCTGGACATGTTTCAATGATCTCAGATCCCAGGAAGTTGAGAAAGCTTGGGAAGAAGGATATACCACTGATGGTGGACACAATGCAGAGTTTATGGACCACAAGGACATTTGGCARGGCCYRCAAGATAAGGAAGAAACTGATARAGCCAGCTCAGCAARTGGGCTGAAATCGGCTCCAGTTGGGTAGAAGGTAATCCCAGCAGGGCAGGTCACAATCACTGACCCATGGCCCGAGAAAGCACTGACCCAAAAGAAGAGAAAGACTGAGTGTGGGACTAATTAGCATGAGAAGCGAGAGCCTCATTAACCAATAGAAGATAGAATACTAATTAGTAAGAGAATTAGGTGATGTGTAGCCAATGAACACTGACGCCTTTGTTTGCTAAAATAATGACAAGTTTTGGTGGTGGCTATGATGGCTTTGGGGATTTGCCACCCAGCCCCCTTTCCTGCACATAACTGTCAGTCAATCAAATACATAGACTCTGGATCAGCCTCCTGCACAGCAGGGAAAGAACCTGTTTTGGGATAACAGGGAGGGTCTCTGGGGAAGTGCTGTTGTTGGGGTGGGGGATAACCCCCTTTGGAAAGTATGGGTAGGGACACACCCTGCTCTGGTCATTCTCAGGTTATTCCTGCAGCTCTGGGCTGTCTGTGAGCGTTCCCTGAGCTCTGAGAAGAGCCCTGGGGCTGACAAAATATGGGAACCACATTAGTAGGGGGAAGTGCTGAAGGATTTCTGAGCCTGTGATTACTTACAAACTGAATAAAGTGCCTTTTCCTCACCAAGAGCTGCAGCGCAGATTGGTGTTTGGGTGCTGCAGTGGAGTTAGTTACACAAGGGCAAACTGCTACCAGAAAGTAATTTGAGGTGTGATCAGCAGCTCTGTCTGTTGATCATCCTGTAATCAGTGACGTCATTAATGATATTTGGGAAATGGGTATCAATGTGGAGCATTTGGGAATGCTGCAAATACATTAAGGTGCATGAAAGTTTGGGTTCTGTATGAACCTGCTGTCCCTTCTGGCCCCCATTCTGCCTTATTTTGTGACTGGTGGAGTTCTCAGGGCCTTCTTTGGTTTCTGTTTTCGTTTCAGCAGTGCAGCAACAAGAGATGGCAGAGTTCACAACAGAGACCATGCCATGCCAGCCTGAGAAAAATCAGCTTTGTGTCCTCCTCACCCTGGGTTTACGTCAGGAGTAGGAATATTGCCCTGCTCATTCCAGCTGAACACTCGATTTTCTGGTTTATTTCTTTGTTCCACACGTACAGAAATTCTTGGTCATTCCAGCAGTTGTCTCTCTTTCTGGAATATGGTGTTTTCTGTGCTGGTAATTCCTGTTACGAACTCAGAATTCTTGTTCAGTATTAGCTGTRGTTTATGCTTGAATGGCTGCAATTTTAAGTCCAAGTATGGCTTTCCAGGAGATCCATAATCGCTCTCCTTCATCAGCCTAAATACTTGTTTTAAACTACCAAATTTCTCTTGGTGTTCAACAGTTTTTTTTTTTTGTTTTTTTGTTTTTTTTTTTGTTTGTAGCGTCATATGGGACATAAATCCTTTATCCTTTCACCCCAGATTTGGCTTAATAGTGTAATTACAAAGTCATTTAGTTGCCTGTTTCACTAAATGTGTCTGTAATTGTCTCCTGTTAGTAGACTGGTGTTTGCTAAGCTACTACAGTTTGTTTGGGGATGAAAATTACATGCAAAATAGAAATATCAGCATCTCCACTCTGTAATCTTGCCTTAATTTTCTTACTCATCAGGTTGATACCACTAATTAATGCTCCAAAAACTGAACCTGCATTTGTTGGTATCGGTTCATCAGCTGATCACTGAATTTTTGGTTCTTTGGTCCTGGTTTCAAGTCCCCAGCCAGTTGGTGAGTGATACTCTCTGTGTTTTCTGTGACTGAGCTGGTCTGTTTGGATTCTTGGTGTGAGGATTCTCCAGGAGCTGCAGTGGCCATGGTGCTATTGTGTATTTGTGTCTGACATGGGAGAAGGGAAACCACTGGATGAAGATGGGCTSAGAGGGGATGCTGAGAGACAAGGAAACAGCTCTGGGGGCAAGGATCAAGTGGCCAAGGAGGTTGGTGGGATTCTGGGGTGCTTTTCCAGCAGATCAGGGAGGGGATCCTGCCCCTGTGGGCAGCCCTGGGAGGCTCCTCTGCAGTGCTGTGTCCAGCTCGGGGCTCCTGAGCACAGCAGGGACCTGGAGCTCCTGGAGCGGGGCCGGCAGAGGCTGCGCAGATGAGGAAGGGCCCGGAGCATCTCGGTGCCCAGGAAAGGCTGAGGGAGCCGGGGCTGCTCAGCCTCCAGAGGAGCCCCAGCCCAGAGGGGCCCTCAGGCCTGGCTGTCCCTGTGTGCAGGGAGGGCTCCGAGCAGGGCCCGGGCTCTGCTGCGGGGGGCACCCAGCGATGGCAGCCCAGGGACGGGCAGGGAGCGAGCCCAGGGAGCTCCCCCTGCAYAGGAGGCAGAACTTGTGCCCTGGGCAGTGCCCAGCCGTGCCCAGATTGTGCAGAGAGGCTGTGCAGTGTCCCTGCCTGGGGCTATTGCAGAGCTGTGTGGGCACTGCTGTGCCCTGTGCTCTGGGATGGCCCTGCTGGAGCAGGGAGGTGGCACCAGAGGAGCCCTGGGGGCCCTTCCACTCAGACCCATCCTGAGATTCTTGGGAGGAAACTGCAGAGCGAGACAAAGCTGAGCTGGCAAACATTACTCTGTAGTAATGTGGCTGAAGGAAGAAATGCTGAAGGGAGAACGGCTCAGGCTGAGGCAGGAGCACGTTCAGAATGTTCCACATGAGGTTCTGCTGCCAGGGTTGTCCAGCTCAGCCAGTTTGTGTCATTGCAGCGTGGAGTCAGAGTGGAAAGGACACTGAGAAGGAGGAGGTGATCATCCCTGAGGAATTGCTGCAGGTGCAGTGGCTTKCTGCAGCTTTTCTGCCTGCCAGTGCTGGGATTTTGTTCCCTGCACCCAGGGGTGGTGGGGGAAGTGGCCAATGTCATTGCAGGGCCCTCAGCAAGGTCACGGTAATCAGGAGAGGATTCTGATGACTGAGAAAGGGCAAACATCATACACTCRTTGGAAAATCCCCCCTGGGAGGGTGGGGAGGCCYTGGCACAGGGRGYCCAGAGRAGCTGTGGCTGCCCCTGGATCCCTGGMAGTGTCCAAGGCCAGGTTGGACAGGGCTTGGAGCACCTGGGACAGTGGAAGGTGTCCCTGCCCATGGCAGGAGGTGGCAYTGATGAGCTTTAAGGTCCCTTCCACCCCAAACCATTCTGGGATTCTGTAGAAAGGATAAGGAGAAAGACTGAACAACCTGAAAACACTTGATTTAACCTGATTTTCTGGAAGGTGTTGGTGCACCTTCTCCTGGTCACAGAGTTAAGCAAGAAGGTGATTGGGAACATCCAGGATGGATTTAAGGACAATTAGGTCAAAGGAACCCAAGTGACTCAGAGCACAAGGGGAGAGACCAATGGGTGGTGTTTACCTGGATTCTACTGTGGCCTTTGCCAAAGGCACCTGTGGTGTCATTTCACCAACCTGGTGGGTGAGGTGTGGATTGGGTAAATGGGTCATAAATTAAATGGAAACCAGCCTGGGTTGCTGGGCTCAGATGATGGTCAGCAGAGGGTTAGCAGCACACAGTGTATACCAGAAAAGGGCTGAGAAAACTCTGCTTGTGATCATGATAATTTTAGGAAAATAAATGCTTTGCTCCTGAGGGAAATAAATACTGTGCTCCTTAAGAAATGTATTTATTTTGGTTGGAAGAGGGAACTAGGCTGGTTGTGGAAAGCAAGCTAAAAATAGACATGGAAGTTCTAGAAGGTTATACATATATATTTTGAGTTCTCTAAAAAACCTTGCAGKTGAAAGCACTCTTTTAGTCACTGGTTTAAATGCCCATTAATGCCCATTCTCCCTCAAAATGCAGACAAAATTAATGTATTTTCAAGTTTTTGATTAATTGTTTGAGGTACATTTTTTTGAGGCACGTTTGGCACTGGAACTTTATTCTCTGGCACTGGTTCTTCTTGTCTTAAAGTAGCCTTCTGCTAACTGAAATTTTCATCTGCATTTTTATTTTTCTGCATCTTGAGCAAAATAACTTAGTGGACCATGTAAGCTTTGATAGATAATAGTTGTTTTTTTAATCTAAACCCAGAAATTTATGACCAAAAATCTTGCTATCCCCCTTCAACCAAATATGCTTCAGTGTAATTACAGGGGATATYTCGTTTCACAGCTCACAGACAAAGCAAATGTGTTTGTTTTACTTTATTAGATTTCTTATAATATGTTCATACAAACCCAAATGTGCATATACACACTGTCAATACTGCCAACTGCAATTTATTAAGTTTTATAATTTTTTTCCACTAGG